ATGTTAGACAAAGTTTAAAAGTTCTAGGAAGATGAAATGAGCAATTTGTAAAGTTGTTGAATGTTAAAGTGATGATTCAAAAACCGGTGGGATCTTCAGGGTTTATATAGTCTGAACCCTGAGAATATCTGGACTACAAGTGCGCACAAAGTGTGGTTCTAATGTTAGGTTAATTACAGTAACACGGTTACTATTGGGTTATAAGTATATTTCACTTGTTACATACATGTTACATCTGTGAAATATATGTAGCTTTGGTTCACATCAAAGTTGTGTACGTACACACTCTTTGATGTAAGTTTTGCACATGTTACATATGCCAAATCATATGTAACTTGACTCTTGAAACTGAGCCTTGAGTTGTAATTGCTGTTTTTAAGGTTTTTTATTATATTTGTTGCCCAGGTACGCTGGTTTAGTACTCAGGGCTGACAAATCCCTTGCAGGGATATTTTAACCTTTGCAAGCTTGGTGCTCTGGACAGGACTTGTGTATTATCACTCACTTTTGGTGGGAAAGCTGAGACCCAAATCCCCGTGCAGGTATATAAATTGCCTATCTTTTGTAATTTGAGTGCTATGGTTCTTTTGAGGAGACCAAAATCTTCAGAAAAATCAATTGAACAGCATTGTTCTTTGACCAAATCCTGTTGATTAGATAGCAGTCCTCTTTCAATAGACAGAGGAGTCTGTTCTTGGAGGTCTTTTATAATTCCTGTTTTGAAAATGCAGTCACCACCATCAACCAAATTTAAATTTCAAAATTCAAAAAAGTCTTTTTGTTTTTGAGGATGCGCCCCAAGACCCGCCAAATCAGGGACCCCTGTGGTACAGCCTGTTGGGTTGGGGGGCTGTTCTGGCCTTCAGAGAGTCCCAGAACTGTGCGGATTGTTGGGCCCGGGGGTTGTTCTGAGAGTCAAAACAAGTGATTCTATTCCTTGGGGAAGCCAAGGACAAATAAAGTTGTGAAAAGCCGACAAATACAAGTTTGGGAGAGGTTGTGCTCAGCGGTATTTGCTGGAAATCACTGGGTACTTGGGGATCCCTGTAATTCCCTGGGGAAATGATGGCTGTTTGGGGGTCAGGGTACAGGATCCAGGCTTGAAATTCTCAAAGACAAAAAAAGCTTGGGGTCTACTGGGGTTGGTCCTTGTTCTGCCTTTTGAAAAAAAGTTGATTGCCCAGGCAGCTCATCCCCCGGCATTTGGGGTTGGGGCTCATCCTGAGCTCAGAGTGAGATATAAAGAATCTGAATAACCAGATGTGACAGGAATTGCTTCAGGTATCTCCAGTTGAAATGGGTAAGGGGGTGATTGAGACAAAGTGGGAAATTCTGAGGTGGAGATCAAAAAGTCTCCCTGCCAAATTTAAGCTTTTGCAGCTATGCACACTCACCAAGACTGGACAATTAGTTCCAAGTTCTTCACCAGACACCCAAGCTTGCAAGGAAGAAGTTTCTGACCATGGGACTTTCTTAAGTTGGTGATCATTACCAAGCTATCAAGGCCCATTTTTTGAGAAATTTGACTGGCTGTAACTCACTCTAGAGGCACAACTCCCAAATTCTTCTTTAATATTGTCGGTTCAGATGGAACCTTGATGAGTGCTGCTCAAGCGGTCAGACCCGTCAAAAACTCACAGAAGCCATAAATTTTACAGGCACCCAGTTTTATAAGGAATGTTTTGATTTTTGACCTGGGGGTTAATGTCTATCTAGAAAAGGCGGGTGTATGTAGGATGAGCCAAAAAATAATGCGTTTTCTGGCTCCAAGGGATTTTTATAAGCAGGTTAATTACAGGATACAAAGTGGAATCTGGGCGTGTGCCCGGCCTCATGCCCAGATCTTTTTTGGCAGTAAATTTGAATTCTGGGCCTGGACTTTTGCCCAGAAAATCAAAATTTACTGCCAAAATAATTCTGGGCACATGCCCAGATTCTACTTTGTATCCCACAAATGCAATATTTTGGATTGGAAAACATCCCAGCCAAATCTCCAGTTGTGGTACACGAATGTTGTTCTGGCAATTTCCAGAACACTGTTTCCAGAATGCCAGAAGTATTTTTTTGGTGTGTTCTGGCGTTCTGACGTTCTGCAACTTTGATTGCCCTGCTTCATTTGCGGGGCCTGCAGCGTAAAGTTTATTTTTTTCCACAACACCAGAAGCCTGCCCAAAGGGTTCTGGCGTTCTGGAATTTGCCAGAACGATATTTGTGTACCATAAGTGTCAAGCAGCAGTGGTGACAAGTCCCTCTTTGAACAACCCGTTTTGGCCGTGAGGGAAGGGTTAGCTGCACCCTGTTTTTTTGAGAGAATTCAAAGGGTTGCGGAGGCAGAGAGCCTGGCTCTCATGCCAGCCGCTATATTTTCCCACACCCCAAACGGGCAATACAAATTCACCAACTTGGAATGTACAAACCATCATTCCTGAAAGCCATTGATCATTTGGCCCTTGGGTCACCTCGATGAAGAAAGGAACTGCCCCACAGACCTGTTCCTCCTTGGTCAATCAAAACTTCAAGTATGTAACATGACAGTGGCTTAATATGGCAAGGATTACAAGAAAAGCAATATATGTGTGTGTAAAGTGGTACTCTACAAAAACTGAAAGTCTTTCGAAGGAATAAGTCTTGCTTGCACAAATTCAGTTGAAAAACCAATAACGCTTTTGTTGGATTCTCAAGTCCAAACTCAATACTTTTGTGGGAATTGTGAGCCTGGTTTTGGTTGGTTTTGCTGGCATCATTGCCAACTGCAAGTGTCATCATCATTCGGAACAGTAAACGAGGGAATCTTGGTCCATCCAAAGCTGTCAAGTAGCAAACCCTAACACATTTCGATTGTAAGGATTGATGTTTTTTGGTTAAGCTGTCTCTATGGTTCTTTGTGAAGACCAACATCTTCTTTATTGTTATTGGTTGAACTTGTGAGGTTTGAGAAAATTGGTCATTGTTCCCAGAGCCCGCGGAGGTACAAGGAAGTCCATTCAGTAGAGCGGTCGAATTCACAGGTTCAGTATGAGGTGTCACAGCTTTGACAGGTGGCGTGTGGTAGCCACATGTCAGCTAGAAGAAGACGTTTCAGAAGGAAGTGAAAAGTTCTTCATCACTTCTCCTTCCAAGCTCTCAGCTGAACTTCATCTGCACTAGAGAATTTGTCTAGTTTTCATCTCTCTCACATTCTCATTTCTCTTGTATTTAGTTTAAATTTCTTTAAAAAATCCCGCCCACCATCCCTGGGTTGAGGAGTCAGTCCTCCTCAGGCCTATTCTTGTCCCCAGAGGTGATAAATGTTAGCGAGAATACCTGTTCTCCATAGATTTATTACCTCTGACCCCCCCCACACCACACCTAGTAGGATGTTGATCTGGTAAAGGTTAAATCTTGCTGTGGTAGAATAGGCCAGTGGAGAATTGAAGACGGGAAGCTGTATCCAATTGGTAGAGCCCTTCCAAGAGCTAGAGATTAGTAATCTTATAATATGCATTCACCTCTTGACACCACTCTATGTAAGAATGGACAGATTTTGACCGGGTATCGAGCGGATGGAAAGGCAAGAAAAGTGGAATACGTAAATACGGGTAGCAGGTGCACAAATGCGTTTGGACAGATGTGACACATTCGGATGTGGGAAAGGCAATACAAAACATCAATTCCAATACAGTGGAATTCCTTTATAAGCATAGCAATGGTTGGGCAAAATCTTATGCTTACATAAAATATGCTTCTTATCAAATAGGAGCATAATTCCCAATCAAAGAAACTGCTATGCTTAAGGAAAAAAATAGTTCTTGACCATTTTTTTAAATGGGAGGCGCTCAACACAAGGCAAGAAAGGTCACAGAAGCAATATTTGTAACCTGAAGAGTCTTGTGTAAAAAGACGCAGAGATTTTGGAGCATGTATTGTGGGACAAGAGTAAAAATAGAAAGTGATGTAGGGTCTCGATTTTTTCTTGTAGAATTGGAGTGGTTTATGTAGGACGTGGTGATTAGACATGATTTGAAACTCAATCAGAGGAGTTGCTTAGGGCGAGAAGTAATCAGAAGACCAGGTTCAAGCAAAATCAACATCAAGTAATTATAAATAAGATGAGAGAAAAAAGAAAAGATTGAGAGATTTGAAAGACTCACTCATTGAGTTGAGTACTGCCATTTTCATCGTCACCAGAAGGAGACAGATCGGATGATGAAAAAAGAGAAACACTCCAGGTGTCAGGTACATGAGCTGACTTTCTATTGGAAAAGAAGCTAGTTATCTTTGGCTGAGTCAAATTTTCAGTCTGTCACATGCCAAATAGGAGCATATGAGCCCAGAATCCTTGATTTAATGCTTCTATTCCCATGCCTACCCCCCATTTTTAGAAGCATATCTTCCAAAAGTTTATGCTTTAAGCTTATATGCTTGTATTTGCAAAATTACCGCCAACCAAAAATGGTTGGAAGGGATTTGATGCTTATAGAAAATTATGCTTGTGTAGTGTATGCTTACAAAGGAATTTCACTGTATGTAAGAATATGTATGACTGTGCGTGGCTTGCGCTCTCATTTTGAGAGCCGCCTCTCTGCCTCCACAGCCCTTCGAGTCTTCTGGAGAGTGTTCGAAGGGTTGCGGAGGTTGAGAGCCTGGCTCTCATGCGAGCCAGTTGCGAGCCAGTACAAATTCCCACATCCCAATCGAGCAAATCAAATGTACCGCATTCGTCGTAACCGAAAGTCATAGACCATATCGGGTCATTCCAGTATGGGCACTTGTATCTACTTGTATATCCCACAGAGCCGCCGGCTCCACATCCATACTAATGTTCATCTTATTGTTAACCAATCGAATGCCGCGGTCAAGATGACCGGTTCATCTCGACCGTGCATCGCACTGGCAAGCCGAAAGAGGTCGGCGTACCCAGGACATGGACCACAGTGCGTGTGCCAAAGCAATACCACATCATTCAATAAAAGCAATTCATTGAGGTCCCAATCGTAGCAAAGCGTAAACCCTTCGCGAACATGCCACCTACCAGATCATACGCTGAGTTTCCTGTTAAACCCGTCAATCCTCATCTGCCATTGCCACTGCCAGGTTCAACGAAACAGACCGGGTTGCTTTGCCCATCTTGCATCAAACGTCACTCCACATCATACTTCAAGCCCAGTAGACAATCAAACGAGCCACTAATAGGTGTTTCTGTGAGTGAGAACGTTACTTCATATAGATGGGAGCTGACTTATATGCTTCATACACCTATCAAGTGCTGTGCCGGCAGTTATATCCGATCCTATAGCCTTGCACAAGCAACAGACGCGGTCCTAGCACACAACCTAAGCATACAAGAACGCACATTAAACAACCTCACGACAGCCCAAGAGCGAGCCGATCATCAATTCGCAATGCAAGTATCACAATTGATTAACGGCGATATGCCAGGTGCCAACAACATGGCGCTGAACGAAAATGGATCAAATGGATCAAAGAAGAAGGCGTTACCTTCGAATCTTCAGTGTAACGGACACAACAATTGTTTTGCTACTGGCCAAACCGATCGAAGAAATGCAGGATGTGCCATCAAGGCGTGCCGACACGTAGGTCCACTACCTGCAATAAAGTACCAAATATGTTGATGACACACATTTATTTTCAGTGTTGCGAACAGCTCAAGCCCGCAAACATTAGATGCTCAAAGCATAATGCAATGAAGAAAACCAAACCAACAGTGACAGTGATCAAACAAAATCGCGATGCAGGACCTACGAATTCCGCCGCGCCAAATTCAACACAGCAGCCGCCAGACAATGTTGACACCCCCTCAACAGATCATGATCCGACCCTCACCCAAGGTCCACCACCATCTCAACACCAACGATTAACCCAAGCGAGTCTAACGTTTTCAAGCCCACTAACCGCCGCGCAGGTTACCAGGTTTCGAACAACGACTATCCAGAAGCAGGCACAAGAACGCGAAGATAAGGATCACGCGAGACTCGCCGAGAACACCATAACGTTTGTGGTGTGGGGTGGTTTTGACGATGTGAGTTCAACTTTCATGTTATATCGCACTTAAAATGCTCAAATACTATTACTATTTGGTGTAACAGGAAGACCCCTTGGCCTTTGAAACATGGCGTGTATATGCTCCACGTTGGCCTGACATGTCGCTAAACACGTCAGACACGCTGATGGAGCATGTTCGAAACAAATTTGGTGTCCACTGGAACGGAGACCTTCGTGTATGGATACCTGAAGAAAAAACCTGGGTGAGTCTATCTATATGTACACTTTAATACAAAATACTAATGAATACTAATGGATCTTCTGCAGGTGAAGATGCAAACATCCATAGTAGAGGGGTATAACCCCACTTATCGTCGCATCCTCATTGTTTTCCCTGGTATCAAACTTGCCGATTGTAAGGAACTAGAAGCCAATAAGGAATTAGTTCGTACCATGACATCAATGCAGAAGATGGATATGGTCAAGGTAATCAGTCCTTTGGCATACAAGCGCTTCCGCACCCCAACGCCGATGAAACACACCAAACAATATTGTGTAATATCGGACGAGGAAGAAGAAGAAGACCGCATTGAAAGTCCATCCAGCAGTCTGCCCGCTCAAGAAGGTAATGACATTGGCACCGTAACAAACCCACCCGCTCCCACACCTCAATTACCTTCAAGTCCTTCAGTCGCCCACGCAGCCAAAACTTCCTCAAAAGTAAAAGGATGGCCCACATCACCTAGAATAATTACCATGGAATCGCTATTGCGATTCTTCACACTAACGCTAGAGCCTCTCGAACTCACAAATCAAGCTGCTTTCAAGCAGGTGTATGGAACTGACTATAAGTTCAAAAAGTCCACCGTCTCCAAATACCACCGGTGGATTGAGTCAATTACACCGAAGAGGTTCTCCGCTTTCATCAAAGAGAATGGAAAAAATTGTACCGTGACTGATGGTTTAGACTTCTTCAAGGCCGAGTGGAAGGACATGGACAAACGAGTTCCAAACGCTTAAGGCCTTTAGCGTGTTTAGCATAGCATAATTGTATGATTCATTGTTTCCACATTCAAACATTGCATTCTATGTATTCCTGCATTATATTTCATTCAACTCATGATCGCCATTATTATTGTTATTATATTTAATCGCACTCACACCTTTCCTTATATTATACTTGATTTAGCTATTTTTCCATCTATTCATTACTTGATTTCTCAATAATTACATTGTCCTACCGCTGTACGCCCCTCATACATGAGTTACACCAACCAGTGTCAATCAAACATGAAACCCACATTTCCACATTTACCAGGTAACACATGCCCCGTTTAAGTAAAACCTACAATCCATTAGGAGAATGTCAGCAATTAAGCCAAAGACTTCATTGAGCACCTACTCAAATGGTTATGAAGTGGTAAAATAATCACTACGATCAACGATCAACCTAGATTATTGAGCACTTAACCAAAGCCTAGGTAAGACTCATATTTCCGCGGAGTTGACCAGACCATAGACATCAATCCATGTAATTACGAAGCATCTCATCTCATCAATGCGACGTAGCGGAGTTATTATTGATCATAATGAGATCTCATCATAATTACCGCATACCTCTCTTCCACAAATGTGCCCTATAATTTTTTAAGTAACTTTTTCTTATTATTTATATCTGTCCATTCACATTCGTCCACACAGCCTGTTGTATTTCACATTCTATCTACATTTCCTACTCTACCTTTTCTACCTGTACAGACATTACAAATCCCTACGTTATACTAAAAACCTTTTCATCTTCCTCTCCTTCCTTAATATCTACCCAATTCCATCTTTTGCCTGTTATTTTTCGCTTAGCCGTCCGATCTCACTAATCATCATGGTTACCGGAGTCGAAAGTGGTGCTGATGTCAAGGTTATGCAAGTAGAAGGCCCTGGTACTGTAGCCATTTCATTATGGGACTTGCCTTGCAGGCCGCCTACTGACCAAGTAAACAAACTTTTAGAATTGATTGACACCACGGGAAGCGCTGCGACAAATGCCGTAGTGATATCATCCGACACCAATATGTCAGACGCACCAGGTCAGTTGAATGATAAACCCCACCCCAGTCTCAGGCTAGCTACTTACCAATAAATCAACCACAGGATCTGGACCAGTATCTCCAACTCCATATCTCACTGCGCCGTACTATGTTGATATAGAAGATTTGAGTCGGAAACAATCAGGATGTCTATACCGATTACGGCGCAAGACGTTTTGACAAACAGTAACTTCTTACGATCAATCGGAGAACGTAACCCTCATTAAAGATGAAGTAGTATACACTAGTGGTGAACTCGTTCTGCATGTTACCATTGAAGACGGTTGGACGATTTGCAAGATGTACCTCAATCACGACGAGGTTGGGGGCCTTTATCATCTTAAGTTTGACCCCTCATGGCTTGAATTGGATACAGAGGGACGGTATGAGTGTTTCGCGCGTGCTGAAAGCAACCGTTACGCTTCCTGGGCGATGAATCAATTTCAATACACACTCTCTTGCAAACGCAGGAACGGGAGAGGGCGCCTGGTTCCTAAATATCAACAATATTACTCCCTTTCGTTATCCATGGTGGTCAGATTTCTACATTTAATTCGTTGAAGTATGTATTCCACGGCAAACTGAATCTTTTTTAAGCAGGTTCAGCCCTGTCATGCAATGCAATCCGCCGGTTCTGGATATGACGACGAACCACGTTGGATGATCTGTGAGCGCGTGACTGACCGCGGTCACGCGTATGTGCACGAGGGAAACTTCCACAATAAACCGACTGAGCGTCGACCTTGGACCTCCCTAATCCATGCGTACATTCACTATGTTTATGATCTAAGTGCAGACCAGACTTTAATCAGCAGGCTAGACTGCGACGATCACGGCAAGATCAGCAATTTGGTATGCTGGGACCGAAAGTAAGCGACATCCTATTTTCTCAAATCAAATGCTAGGTATTCAACTTGATTGACTATCAATTGCGATATGAACAGCCGTCCTCCTTACCACAGCCGTGATGTTGTGGAAATGCACGGCAGAGTCCAACACGCTTTTCAGATGTTTGCTGAGCAACATGTGTGCAACAAGATATGCAGGCTTCTGGGTAACATACATATGTAGTTTATTGCAGGCCCTCGTATATTTTTCATTTACATCCATTTTTTTGTTTCCTTTGATATTTCCTTCCACTATTGACTTTCACATTTTGACAAAGAAGTCATTTCCATCATTTTATTGCTCAGCCTTGTTGATCGTTGATGTTTATAATTATACATGTTTACCTGTTACCAGTTACGTATGGTACTGATTTGTTATACATTTGGTATTCATATTGCAACATCAGCCCTACTGCAAGTGGTTTGGCCGAATGAAATGCTTCAGATGAAGCAATCTAAAGGGGCGGCGGGCCACCCCCTTTGCTTGACAACAATGTGGATATATACTAAAAAATGTTTGAACACAGGCCTGATGCACAGGTTCAAGTGGTTAACCATGATTTGAGTACTATTTTTCAACTACCAAATACAAACATATGTCATCTCGAAAGATGATGATTATTATAATGTATGACCCCGTATCATCCAATGATACGTTGTGATCATATTCAAAGCGATCACGTGTGATTAGGGTGATTCTTGCTGTGAAACATATCCACACGAATAGTCAATATAATATGAACACAGGTTATGTGGATTTAATTAGATAGCCGTATCAGTGATCACTTAAAAACATAGTGGATCTGTTCCAATAATGATAATTTATCATTACTGTACGGCTAAGCTATCAGGCATCTCATTTTCTGGTGACGTAGATCCATAATATTCTCGGCTATATAGGTGTTCAATAAATATACACAAATGCCTTGTTATTATCGGCTATATCGGTGTTCAATAAATTTACACAAATATCGAATTTATTTTGGACTCAAACTCAGAAGGATAAAGCCAATCATGTACAACAAAATATCGCCATTAGGTGGGTGAAGGAATGGCGTTGGCGTCAAGGCCTTTGGATCATCTATCAAGTATATGAGTCAAAGGCCTTCACATCCGCGCTTGTCCACCAATAGTGTGTTGAATTGGTGTGTGTGGTCAATCTTATGAATACGCCCAGTTTTTGGATAAACTGAGCATCATGAGATGAAACGACCTTTATTGATTTATATACCATTTTGTATCTTATAATTATCTATTGCATTTATCAAAAAGATAACAGATTGTTATTACCCCACCGCGAGTGTGGAAATCCGTTAGGATAAATAAAAATAAATGCAATGTATTTGCATTCACCATTAACAATCTTCAATGTAATAAATCATTGGGAATCAGGCGTATGTGATTGACACAATCCAAGTAATGTTCGTGTCCGGTTGTAAATCAGGCTCTCTATGGTTTATAAATACTCTGCTCATTTATACATGTACATGCCCAACACATATCTAATTATTTTGTTACGAACTAACGTGAGCGCTATTCAGGTTTACCATTATTACCTTACATTAACATTCCCATGAGGGTGACCCACAATAATTCCTGACGTTTCTTATGCTTATGCGGTATATAATAATATATTTCAGATCTAAAGACATTTCAGTAATAATGCCAGCACGCAACTTCGACAACAAAACTTCTTCTAGGCCTGTTTCATCACCAGCTACGACTCCTGAAGTGGTGATTCCCAACGTTGATTCAGCCGATGGATCAGTTGTTGTAGGTGAAGTAGGTGAAAACTCTGATTCACCTGTTCTGCGGGGCAAGGAGGAAGATTCGTCCAATCATGGAAGGCCAATTAGTGAAGACACGTCTACAACAGCCGTTCATTTCAGTACAAATTGTAACAATGAATCTTCCAGTGATAACCAGCCCATAGCTAAGGGGACGGTTGTTGCTTCTTACAACGTGAGGAGGGCACCCCGATTTGTGAGACGCACTCAGCCAAGTGAAAGCCAAGGTGAGTTGTTAATTTTTATTTATTTTTATTATCAAGTAATTTTGCAAAACCTTTTTGCCTACCTCCTTGCTGGTGTTCTAGATGATCTAGGGCCTGGAGCCGTCTTCGGCGTTACTATTCCGATCCGTACCTCTAATTTCAGACCGGACTATCCATCCAGACGTGCCGCTTTTCTTTACCACGTAGAGGACTACTACGGCGACGATATCAAACCTCGATACGAGCCAGAAAGAAGCAACGGCGTGTCGGAGTTTGTAGTTGTTTTCCAGTTAGGTAGGACGGTAAACTTAGCAGCAACTAGGGACTATCATGAATGGCAAGTACGCGAATTGCGAGGTGATCAGGTGGGCTTGCTGCCATATGACGGCATTGCCCGGTTTCATGATAACTGGTCATGGACAGCTACATCCGGTAAACAACAAGCTGTAGAGATCGCGAATGCGCACATGTATGTTTCGCAAATGTTGCGGAGGTTCCAGTCACGGCTTCGAATTATGTCTAAATCAGGGCCCCCTGAAGTTTACGATTGGTATCTGCTCGCGAAAGTCTTACATGTAAGAGATCCTTCTCATTAATGACCTTCCCATGTTAATATTAATGTTCATAATTACTTTGTAGGTTCCACGAGTCTCCCTAATGCAGACAATCGGCACACTGGATGAAGGTCTGCCTCGATGGATGTTAGTCGAAACGGCTAGAGACCCCACCAGTGCTCAATATGTTACACATTCGTGTTACCGCGACACCTTGCCAGCTGCTGATCGGTGGAAGGCATTACTATTTGCTTTCATTCATTATGCTTACCAGGAGAGTGGCGGTGATACTCTCATTTCGCAAATTGACTGTGACAAATGGGGGGTGATATCAAATGTTGTGACCTTTAATAAAGCGTAAGCAGCACAATTTTTGTTGCTTACTCAATTCAACAGAAATTTACTTGATATTGGTTATGTGTGCCTAGGTCATATTACTTGGAAAATAGTGATGGATTGGACCAGCCTTTCTTTGATTTTAGAGGAGGCCATCCTTGCAACAATGTGTGCCAACAGCTCGGCCTAGTAAGACTCAAATTATGATCATTGTTTCATGCTCGATCACATTGATTATCTCATCTAAGTGATAAATGTAATTACAATGATATATTTTTAAAGATAATTATAGTTCAAAGACAAGTTTACAATTTGAGCATATTACTGCGTTGATCCATAGGAATCTGTCTTTATGTTTGTTGGGTACGGTGTTCGGCAGCTCACAAGGTACCGATCACTTGATTTGTTTGTCATTAGTTATCCGTGATGGTATTGGTGATCATCATAATTTTACCTATCGCCTCTGATACATTGAATGGATAGGTGAATATTATTTTAACAATTGCCTCTGATACACTCAGCTTAGAGACTTGCTTTATGAAAAAAACGACCTATGGTGTTTTGACCGTTGTCATTACACCGGTGTGTCATTATTCAGGAACCAGTTTGACCTTATCAAAAGCAATGATAGTGAAATCGACTATTGATTCATGAGTGCCACCTCTTGCTTATTGAAAAGTATGCTTTGTCCTTTGAAAAGCCTCTCTTGCTTCTCATTCAAAACGAATATCCGCTATTTGCTATTCTCAATATTATTACCAGAATAGATGATCACCCTCGCCACCTGACCTTCATCATATTCTTCATTTGATGTTTGTTAGATGGCAGTGTGCCAGGAAAATGACCCAATTGTTTGATACGATACGAATGATTGATTGATAAATTAAATGGAAAATTTTAATTTATGAAGGTCCAATGCATTGCGAGAATTACGTAATGAGGGTAAGGGAAATAACAAGAGATATTACAAATATATATCACTACATATGACATTCAAAAACGAACGGTTGGATAAATGCGGTATGATGATGGAAATAAGAGGATACAGGTGGAAACCAATATGAGCTAAGTTGTGCAGGTGCTGTCTTCTCTTCAGCAAGCGCTGGGGGATGTGTCAAAATTACCAAGGAATGTAACATTCTTACGACATTCCAACTTTTCCATGAGGCGATTGTTGTGGAGACGTATCATTTCGTCTAGGAAAAAATTGTATTGGATGTGTCCCATGTTTCGGCACATGGTGTCGAATCTTCCAAACCACGCGTTGGTTATTTCGGCCGCTGAGGCGTTGAACCTCCAACTGCCATCTGGCCGCTTGAGCTCAGGAAATAGATGGGGATCGTTGTTGAGACGGCATGTGGTATGCGACTCCTTGTGAGACTTGATGTGAAACGTGTCAACAGGTAACATCGTTTTCTTGAAATCTTCAGCGTCTGTTGCGTTCGCTCGGATGTGGGAGTATAGACCACATGCATTGTCATAGAATATGACCTGTGGCATGTTATCGGGAAAAACCTCGCGTATGAACTCCTGTAGATTGAGTTGTGTAAGTTGGAGGAGTTGTACCTGTACAAATGGGAAATTCGAAGTCGATGTGACTGACCTTGACCTTGGTCACCGATTCAGATTTGTAGAAAGTCTTCCTAGCTACTATGATTCCGCATGGCAAAACCATGAGTTGCTCATTATGGGTGCGGACTCGTGATATCAATATCCTCTTCTTACCTTTCTCCGCACTTGCTCCTCCATCTCGAGCGCTCTCGTGCGCTCTCTCTTCGACCTCGGAGTACAAGCGGTCTTCCTCGGTTAAAGCCACCTCGCCGGTCTCAGGTTCTAGAAGTTCGCTGGGGTCCATGTGAAGGTTTGAGTGGGGACGGTTGAAACGGCGAGGAAGGCCGAAAAGTGATGTATTTCGCTCTTTGAACGTCTTGTTGGCCTCGATATGTTCTTTGAGATGACAAGTCTTGGTATTTTCGACAACCTTGTTCATGCAGGGCTGGGCATGACATATATCATACAATAGTTCGGCATGCATAGGGCAGAATCTGTGGTTTACTTTTTCTAAAGGTAGAGTGCAACAGACGTCGGCATTGTTGGGGTCGAGAGCTTTGAGCTGCTCCTGAGATGCGCTACAGCTCCATATTCCTAGTGTGATGCCGTCTGTAACCATCGCCCGAATGACTAATTTTCGATCATTAGTAAGTGAATGTGACTTTACACATATTTTTAAGTTTAAGAATGTCTTACTACTAGCCGTTCCAGTATCTTCGTCAATGTTTATCTCAGTGCATGTTGAACATACGTGAGCAGAGTGTGCATTTCCTTCCGTCTCCAACCATGCTGTATGCTGCTGCATTGCTTCTTCAAATCGCTTATCATCCGCGCCTTTGGCATTAGCGCATAGGCGGACTCCTCGAATGGCGTAGTTCTCCATTAGTCTGTGTATGTCGAGTGCAAGGGAAGCGACGTTGGCACTTAGGCGTCGGGTATACCGGTTCTTGTGGAAGTCATTGCGGTACGACTTCTGCCGGTTGGCATGAGTTTGGTTATAAGAATTAACAATGTTGTACACCGACACTCTGAAATGGCGATATCAGGTCATCAGTTGTTGGAATTTTGTGATTAAATACTGGGTATTCAAATGGGGTACTTACATTGCTAGGTTTTGAAGGTGGTTGAAATGATCGGCGAGGCGGTGAGTCATAAAATAATGCTGAGTAACTTGAAAATTATCCATGTCCTTGCCCTCTTCTTTGGCGTAGTAGTATTGCAGTTTGTCGCAACTGTAATAGCATGGCGTATATGTCGTCTTGCAATCTGTATTGTGTGTCAGGTTTAGGAAATAAGATGACTGACTTAGCAAACTATTGAGGCACTTACGACGACAGTAATAGTTTATGGTCCTGACTGTTTGAACGCCAGCTATGTCAAAGAGATATCCAAAGCTGGGTTTGCGCAGCTCGAGGGGCCAAGGTTTGCCGGTATGTTCCACTTTGCACGTGTAACAGTGGGAGGTTGGTGGTTGGAAATATTTCTCGGGAAGCGTCAACGATATGTGATGTCTTCGGTGACGATGGCGAGGTATACCGTTGTCTTGGAACAGAGCGATGTCGTAATGGCACGTCGGAATGGAGTCGTAAGCGATGTTCCAGAGATGACCCCACTTGGCGTCTGGCTGGTCGCCTTCTAGGCATTGGCTGAGGAATTCGTATGGTGCGTGGTTGGGCGTCGTCATAATGGCACCTTTGGTCCTCTTGAAGAAATCAGCCGCGAGCGCAGCGAACTTTGTGAGCTGACTCAGCGTTAGCGTGGCATGCGTTTCTGGGTCCAGCATAGATAGCTGGTGCATCAGGTCTTTGATTAGCATGGTGTCAGTTTGTTCTTTTGCTGAAAGGTCTAACGATGTGCGATTTGGCGCAGTAAGGTACTTTGAATCGGAGGGAAATAGGAGTATACAGAGGGGGCGTACAGAGGGGGCGGAATGGTGAGAAAGGGGTTAGTGGACGGGTATCTAGGTGGCCGAATGCGTTTGGACAGGTTGATGCATTCGGACGTGGGAAAGGTATTAAAAATAATTAATTCCAATGTGGCTGGCTCTCGACTCTCAAATGAGAGCCGGCTCTCCGCTTCCACAGCCCTTCGAGTCTTCTGGTTTTTCCGGTCGCAGTCTGGCTTGACCGGGTGAAATACCCGAGCCTTGGCTGCGGCGGCTCACCCCGAAAAAACATGAAATCACCCGATGTCCGAGTTCTGGGGCATGAATTAATTTCAAGTAAATTTTTTGATTTCGATAATTTATCCTCAACCCATCTTGACAGATCTTCTCTTAATTTTACTTTCAACGCATGGGACGCTAACATCCCAGCGCAAGACTTGCCCAATCCAACAAGTCCTACAGGAAGCCCAATCGCGTAACTGCCCATTGGACTTGGACAAGACGTATCGACATCATGAGCAAAAGACGCGTCAGGTCCCCAGATATGGAATCGCCTGCTCAGAGCGGCTCAAACCCATGCGCTCAAAGGAATGCGAATATCGCGCAACCCTCGTCCAAAAGAGGGAAGAAATCGAACATACAATCAGGCATACCCGACACTTCCTCGTCCAACAACATGAGGAAAAGTAAATATGACAAATCATCCGGAAAGGGCCTTCATGATTCTTCAATTTTGCTTACTTGGCCAGATCACTTCAAAAACCTACAGCGTGTTTACCAAGTAGGTTTGGCACGCGGGATGTTTCCTGGTTTTAGATATTGGATCACCTTAACTGATCTGTTCAACGTATCTAACTGGCGTTTAATAGGCCTTGAATACTATATTCACATTCTGCTCAGCTCGTAAGCATCTTCATACGACCATTGAAAATATGAGGTCTAGCGTCGAGAGCCTGTTGAAAGCGTAAGCCAGACTGTGAACTTTTTTTTGGTTCGAGAAGTGATCAAATAGTCAGCCTTTATCTGAAAACCCCTCATCATTTACCGTAGTCCACTTTCCCTTGAATCTGTTGCTCAGATCAAGACTTTACTTCCCACAGTCATCCGATTTGTTTATGTTGAAACGGAGGCCTTAAGCTCTCTTGCCGCATTATCAGAGAAGAAAAATAATGTCAAAAAAGGTTTCGAGATATATAGTTTACCTGATCAACAGACCTCATCAAAAGATCCTGTGTCTGAACCGAAAAATCAACATGAAGCTCTCTTATTTCAGTTTCTTGACGGAGAGCTCAAGAATCCTCAAAAATCTAATCTGTTGGACACTTCTCAAGGCATTTCGCGCACTGCACGTGGCAAAAAAGGCCCTTCATCACCTCCCTCTCTCACAGAGTTGTTGATGCCAACCTACTCCCCCAAAGTCATGACAAAGATGATTGAAAAACGTAATTCGAAATTCAAGGATGCTGTCGATGAACTTCTCTCTGCCTGCGCTGCTCATGAGCCACCGGTAGACCCAGTGGATCTTCTCATCCAATCTTCTTTAGATAACATGCCCTCCCCCTCAAGTGCTCCACGAGATCAGAAAATCATTCAAGATAACAAACAGCGTCTTCAGTCATACCTGGATCATCCTGAAACTCGACCTAGCATCCAAGCCTTGTTATCTGATTTGCAACAAGACGTTCAGTATCGTGATCAGATTGTCCCAACCGGACAGCGTACTACACCCTCTCGAACGGCTGCTTTTGGAGAACTGGAGCAGTGTCTCTCCCCTACCCTCGAGCAAGCTTTGTTTGCGACCAAGCAAATCCGATCATTATTCTCACATCAAGCCGAAGCAATCAATCATCTTTCTGCTGGAGAACACGTGATCGTCAGCACCAGTACTTCCAGTGGAAAGTCAATTGTATATCAAATCCCGATGTTACAAGCTTTAGAAAAAGACCCGAGCTCATGTGGCCTTTACATCTTTCCCACGAAAGCATTAGCCCAAGATCAAAAACGTACACTGAGTGATTTAATCTTTCAATGTGGTGAAGACTTCGCAAAAACTAAACTGGCCACCTTTGATGGAGACACACCTCGAGAGGATCGTCTGGGAATTAGAGAAACGGCCAACATCATCTTCACCAATCCAGATATGCTTCATCTTACTATCCTACCTCATGAACAACTTTGGAGACGACTATTTCAGAATCTTAAACTTGTGGTAGTTGATGAATTGCATATCTACTCAGGTTTATTTGGCGTTCATATGTCTTTTTTGATGCGTAGACTTCGAAGAATCTGTGAGGCAGTAGGCAATCCATCTGTACAATTTGTTAGTTGTTCAGCTACAATTCACAATCCGGTTGAACATATGAAAACTGTCTTTAGTTTATCAGATGTTCAACTTGTCTCTCAAGATGGTTCACCAAGTGGTTCAAAACATCATGTGATTTGGAATCCACCCTTATTAGATGAAAAAGATCCGAGTCAAGGTCGAATCAGTTCGATTTCTGAAGCTTCTAGAATATTTCGATTCCTGATCGGAAACGGAATTCGTACAATTGTGTTTTGTAAGATTCGTAAATCTTGTGAATTGATGATTAGACAAGTACGAGAAGAACTTCAACGTGAAGGTCGAGAGGATCTCAGCTCACGTGTCAAATCTTACCGGTCAGGTTACACTTCACAAGAACGTCGGGTAATTGAACAAGAGATGTTTAGTGGTGAACTGTTAGGCATCGTGGCGACCACTGCGCTGGAATTGGGCATTGATATTGGAATGCTAGATGCAGTCCTTACAGTTGGATTTCCCCACAGCTTATCAGGATTTCGACAACAAGCTGGAAGAGCCGGTCGTAGGAATAAGGAGTCTTTGGCAATGTTAATCTTAGACCGAGGCCCATCGAATCAACATTTTGCTGAACATCCTGAAGATCTATTCGACGCACCTCATAGCGAGATACGTCTGGATCTTGATAACGAAGTCATTGTAGCTGGACACCTTCAATGCGCAGCTCACGAGATTCCGATCCATCCAAAAGACGATGAAGTTTACTTTGGACCTCATCTACCAACTTTATGCCAATCGAGCCTCATCGAAGATAAACATGGATATTTTCACTCACATCCACGCTTTCAACCAAGCCCAGCTCAACATGTCTCTATTCGCAAAAATGAAGAGATATCTTACTCGATTGTAGATGTGAGTAAAGCCGAGGAACCTAAGATATTAGAAGAAATTGAATCATCTAGAGTGATGTATGAGTGTTATGAAGGTGCTATTTTCATCCATCAAGGTCGTACATTTCAAGTCATCAGTGTCAATCATGCTGGTGAGATTTGTAAGCTACGAGAAGTTGATGTAGATTATATGACTCGACCTCGAGAACTTAACGAACTTGATCCGATGAGAACCATGAGAATCAAAGCGGTCTCAAATTATTCTAGCTTTGCTTGCTACGGTACAATCAAACGTTGAGCTTCCCTTCCATCATTTATACATGCCTCATTCCAAACACGGTCACTGAATCAAGTATCTTTGATCCCTTTTTATCTTCGTCCACATACAGTTACTTCGACGATATACGGATATCTCAAGCTAGATCGGCGACAGAATGTTTTAGACAGTTATGAACTCAAGACTGATCCTTTAATCCAAAATTCAAAAGGTTTATGGATCGACTTACCTTCAATAGCGATCATCACTCTACGAAAATATTCAATTCATTTACCCACTGCAATCCATGCTGCTGAACACGCATTGTTGAACCTTGCAGGTCAAGATTTAAACGTACATTGTAGTGGTTATGATCATCCTTTATCATTGCCCACTGATCGGTCCAAGAAAAGTCAACCAGCCAGGTACGTCAGATCTTTGAGTTTCTGACCATAATGCTTTACCTGAACAATGTTGAAATAAACAAACTTCCATATTGCTTTCTTACACATATCGTCTAAAGGTTAATCCTTTATGACCATCCAAGTAAGTCTGGCGGTGTATCTATCAGAGCATTTGAACAGTTACAGCAGTTATTAACATCTGTAACGGAGACACTCAACAAATGTGAATGTGAAAATGGTTGCAGATCTTGTTAGTTTGACTCTCTGTTTTGGTTCGTACTTTATGATACATAAGAAGTTTCTGATGCATCTCTGTGTATCTAGGCCTTTTGTCGCGGTTTTCATGTTCTAAAGGAGCCCTGGCAGTGGATGGAGCGAAATTTGGGGCAAAGGTAGTGTTGAATGGTTTGTTGGGTCGAGAGTGGCAAGCATACGATGAGGTTCAAGCCAGAAATCCTGAATTTCAAGAACCAAATACAGAAGACATCTCAACGGTAGCAGAACCAGTTCCTGTCACAAATTCAGTGGTAGTCATGGATTCGGATGGAACAGTACTCCAAGCTGCACAGGCAGACAAAGTTCTGGAACAATATCACCATCATTCTAAAGAAACAGAGTCCAGCTCGGAGTGATGTAACATTTGTATCTTCAAATTTTAGTTTTTTAGAATCCATGGCTTTCGACCTCTCTGACTGCCTAAAGAAGGCGCTCTCATTCTAACTACATACACAAAGACACCAATAATAGAACAATCATGCCACAAAGTACTCATCTGTATTCAACAAGCTATCAGTTGAAAACTCTACTGCCTCATCCCCTTCGATGTTAGATACCTCGTCCACCTGGAGGTGAGATAATAAGATTAGTCAGTACATTCACGGGGCTCGAGAAACTTTCAAGATAGCATACCGAGACTTGACATAACCCCTTCTCACTGATGAAGTCCACTGTCACAGGGAAAAATGAGTCGGTCTCGGCCCTTGGACAGTTGAATTCCATCGTCCCCGTACTGGGTGCGACACCAGACTCATCGGGCGCAATTGACCATTGTAACGCCCAAGTACCATCATCTGTTTGAAGCTTCCATGTTCCGTCACACTGCGTGACATTTGGTGCAGATCCTTCACTGTGATAATCGCCAGATAGTTAGCCTCAACATTACCAGCTCAAACAGAACAAGGTTAAAGGTGAAACTGACGGAAGTTGGAGGGTTATGACCAAATTGTGGAGCTGAATGTGATCATTTTCGGCCTCGTACTCAATGTTTACGTCGCAGCTTCCGTCGTCATTCTGAGTGGGCCAGCAATTAACTGAGTTGACCCGTGAGAAGGACGAGAGGAACACAATCAGTCTCAGTAGTTAATTCCTTGAGAAAGGATTGGTTGAATTGTAAGAATTACAAACTTGAGACAGGAATTAGAGTTTCATCCTTGGTCATTAAACGCCATTTCAGAACTCCTAACCCTTGACCGACTGGGAAACCTCTAGCTGGATCTTTCAACTTGATCACCTGGTTTTCTGCCCAAGCTTTTTTGTCGACGTTAGGATGTGTCTTAAATTGTAAGTCACCAGCACTTAGTAGTCCTTTGTTGACAGCACTTTGAACTTTTAGCCAAATCTTCGATGCACTTGCTGTGCCCACTTTCAGATCGAGAGACCCTGAAAGAACCATTGACGCATTGGCGGCTACACCACCATCTCGAGCTAATTCAGCTGAAAGTTTTTCTCGGATAACGAGATGCACGCTTCGCAGTAAGAAAAATCATTTGGAGATGACGTCAGTGTTGGTGAAGCAGTCAGTACACGTGGAGCAGACATACTCTTCTTGATGATCAGGCGCGAATGGGTTGACATCAGCTTTTGTGGTAGCAGACTGTGGGGCGGGGGTCGGACTTGGAAGCCCAGAATGAGATGAAGTATTGACAGCGGCAAGTTGAGGCTCGGGCGCAACGTAATCATCTCCCTATTTCAAGCACAAGACGTTTTTGAGTGATAGCCCAAGCACGCAATGAGAAGCTGTCAGCTTGAAATGGCAGCTGACCAATGCGTCCAACAATCCTCCTTGACCGTGCCCACTTTTGCCTTTGCTCCCCAGTTGCATACCCTTCGTCTTGAATGGTTTCGCAGCGGGTGCTGACGGTCGACTAGAGAATCGCTGAATGTCAGCTCTCAATCTGATTGCGCGAGAGTTTATCAATCAAACCATATAACTACCTGTAAGGATCGTCCCGAATCGTAGGTGGGACGGGTGTAGGTTGATAAGGTCGATCATATCCGCCACCGCCAGATCCCTGCTGGTAAATCATACCCTCAATAAACTTCGTTTCCAACAAGGATAGACAGGGTTTAGAAAGACTCACCATGCCGGCCGCATAGACATCAGCTTGACCTCGTTTGGCGGCATCCCGACGTTGCATGTCGAGCTGTTTGGCGCGCCTTTTAAGTTCCTCTTTGGCTTCCTGCTCTTTATTCTATTTGAGGCAGATAGCGTGCGGAATGGACATTATAATTGTGAAATCATGTTCAATGAAGGCATGGCGATCACTGAGAAGGGGACTGACTTTGGCGATGATATCTTGAATCTTTTCTTCATGACTTTCCATTTCCATCACACTTCTAATTCCATTGAGATCGACCTTTTCACGGTAACCCAGAGAGACCACTTCATCGAAACTACTGAGAACTTCAAAGCTTCTGCTCAAGACCTCTGATTCGGTCACAGAACCACGGCAAAAGTCTGAGACTATCCTTGAGAGTAGGTGAAGAGTGTCGATATCTTGAAGAATGTTGCTTTGGCGATTTGTGAGGACTACCAGCCAAAGATCTTCAAGCGGTTGATAGACATAACGGATAGCAGACGCTGGGTCATCGATCACAGTGTGCTGGGATGAAGGCGGTACAAGCTTTGGAAAGGTCGAAAGTAGTGATTCGATCCTCGCACGGGGTAGGTCTTTGAAGACTCTAGCGATCACGGCTACGAGAAGAAACCATGATCAGGAATGCAGTTGACACAATTAGAATCTAGAAGAATTGCCTGTTGACTCACGTTTTCCGCCTTTTGTGACGACAGCGGCTGCGAGGACCTGGTTCAAAGAGATACTGTTAGTTCCATGGAGATGATTAATCATAGGACAAGAGGGATATGATGACTGACTACCATGCTAATAAGTTGAAGGAGATTGAGGGTAAATGATGAATGATCGAAGTGAGTTTCGATTGGGTCAATGTTCAAACAGGTCAACAAGGTGGTCATCCTCTCAATGCAGTTTACATACACGTCATTATCAAAAACTACAGTTTGAAATAATGCTGTAGCCTGCATCGGACCGGATACTTTGACTGATGGCCCCGGCGCGATGCTGAGTCTGAAAATCTTTCGAATTTATCATCTCACACACATCTCCAGTGTTAGCAGTTACTTTCGTCTTTATATCCCAACAAGAGCTCTTAGATGGTCGTTCGAATCCGGCTTGCTCGTTCTGGTCCAAGAAATCACCCCCTGTTCCATCTCGTGGCCATTCAAGCTCCCAAAAGACGAGATGCCAAACCACTTGAACAACTCGGCGTTTTCACACCACATCCTGTACTGCGGGTCAAGCAGCCGTCATTGATCGATTTAGTTCAGTCCATTCAGCTGGCTCGCAACAGGGAACCCGAAGCCATCCAGAAAATTTCTAGGGGTATTGCAGATGGTGGACTACGTGAAGTGCGCAAAGATATTCGATGGGATGTCAATCGCATCCGATATTGGCTTGGTGTCGGTGCACAGCCTACCGAGAGTGCTCTTCGATTGCTAAGAGCTGGAGGGATCAGTAAGTTTTTCTGGGCATTCGAACGTCCGTTGTTGAAAAGACTCACCCTTTGTTATTTTACACCCTTAGTCAATCATCCCAATGACCTATCACGCCTACGAGCCAAGACATCTACACCGAAGTCTGAGGCTCGTGTCCCCCTCCGCTTTCTGGTTGCTTCGACTCGCCGAGGACTCCAAGGCACACTTTCTCGATTCAGAAGACGAGGTAAGTAATTTATTCAAGCAGCCGAAGTAAGCGGTTTGATGCTGAGGGTAGACAATCCAATATAGGTCTACTACCTTTGGGTACTCGAATTTTACCAGATGGGCGACTCAGGATTCCTGGAATCATCACAAGTTCGTAAAAGCCAACTCTGGCCATATACATGCCCAAATTATCAAGAAAAGATGTTTACTATCCATTCTTGTTCTAGGGTCGGGTCGGAACCTCACTCTGTTCCCAAGTGAAGTGCGCGCAAATCTCAGCAAGGCAGAACAATTGCTGAAGAAAGAGCCTGAACGGATATTACACCGACGATGGAAGCCGACTGACGGATCTAACTCTGAAAGCCAGCCTAGTACGCCCGCCAGACAGAAGCCAGATCCAGGATGGTGGAAAGTCAAACGAAGGAGACGAGCAGCTGCGCTGGGACTTACCGAGCAATTACCACTGTCTCGATCCAAACCTACCCCAGTACCAGCTTCTTGATGAAAAAGTGTTTGCCACTTTATCATCTTATGGGCTTTGATTGTAGAACGGACGATCGAAGATCAAGATACCAGTTCAAAAAGCTTTGCTACCTGTTTATAATTCATGACATAAGACAAATCTTATACCAACTATGTATTCAAGGGACTTGCTAGCCATAATGTATGGAGATGCAGAGTCCAAATTCTTGGTAGAATTGAATCAAACCTGGTCAAAACCATCACTCGGTCGAATTTGCGAACCATGAGGGGAGATATATGAAAGAAAGATATGGATGACATATATCTTAGAAATCAAAAAATTGATTCCGACTTCCAGCAATTGCCGGCTTTGGCCCCAGCACAATGAACTCGAGTCTAGACATTTGAGGACCTCTCAGATGAACAACCTTGGTTTATCTCATTCAAACCTGAGTTCAGAGACCACCGAAGTTTTAGATCTCCGATGCGTTCAAAAGGAATGGCAAGGTGCCTGAGTTTTGAGGGTTTCTTGAAGAACAAGTACCTCATAAGATTAAAACTACAAACGGATGAGGGCTCTTGAGATACTTTTCATTTCAAAGTGTGATCCAAAGCACACGTATTGATGTGTTAATACTGTGTTTGATTTGACGTCGTGGTTTGATTGATATGTTCTTCCGCAAGAATGGTTCTCAATAGGGGAACTATGAACTACAATCGGGACCATTTGATAGATTTTTTCAAGCTCTTTCTCCACCATACCTATCCTCATTGGTAAGCTAAGCCCCTAGGAGCTAGTTGAGCTTACCTCACTAGGATTTACCATCCTGAGTGCGCGCGATGTCTTTTTGCCCGTACTTTGTTAATAACACAGAACAACAAAAAAGGGATCACGCACATACATAATTTTAAGATGACATAAACGCATTGATCAGGCATAAAATGTGATTATGTCATCTGGACCAAAGAAGCTGCTGGAGAGTACATTACGAGTAGCAAGAACTTTTGACCCAGATATTTGGAACCCCCGGAAGCTTTAAATCTATAAACAAAGACAAAATTGCTTACATCTGATTTAGTGAGGCATTTTGCTTGCGGAAGACATGTTTACACATCTGACGGCGCGACATTGTACTCATCAATTTGAAGATAGGATGATTGGTCTTTTTTTAAAAAACAAGTGCGAAATTGTTCAATTGCATATTACACTATGTAAAACAAGTAAAAAGACAAGGGCCATTTGAAAGTCTACCTGGATGTCGGTGGATGATATAAAAGAGCTGATCCCGTCATTCAAGCGGGCGGGCACTCAACGCGTACATTCTATCTTCGCAACTGTTGTGCCAGGTGGGTGTCGTCGGTGACCGGTCAATAGAGGTTTGATTACTTAGTAGCTCAGGAGAGCTTTGGTGTGATGATGTGCTGCTTCCTTCCAAGGGTTCGAGCATTGGACCATTCTCTTGCAGGCCGAGATTCAGAAGGGTATCCGGAGATGGCATAAGACCTTGACTTCATAGTCAAGGCCGCTACTTAGACACCATATCACCCGGTTCTCTCGATATCATATGATAATGCAAGGCACGTTCGAGAGTAAAAAAGCGCCGGTGGAAGAAACAATAGTTCACATTATAAATCGGGTAACGGTTCTTACAACAGACCTGGACTTGACTATATTGGATGATCGACTGCATGATAGGATTGAAATCGGTTTACCTCCGGCACGGCCCATTCCTTCTGCAAGTGGTTAGCGATGAAAGACTTTTTGATGCGCAAACGCCAGACCTTGGTCATATTCACAACCCGCCTTGCTCTAGCAGACTTTCTCCGGTGCTAACAGGGCATTGGAGGGTAACTCAGACCACATGGAGGAATGCAACTTCACTTTGACTGATGGTCTTAATCCTGATGGCGCACAAGCTGGGAGGTAACGTAAAGTCTATACGTGACTGGGAGCCTACAAAAGAACGCCCGTTTCTCCAATTCCCTCTTTATCCTATCCACAAACTTTTTCTTGTTTCTTGCATCCATCACCCTACCATCTTATCCATCGATATATCTTCCTACTATATCATCCATTAATATATCATCTCACTCATTAACTTATCAATCATATCAACAACCCTCTCATCTTCTCACCTGATTTAAGCTTCACCGTCTCTTCTTCATCCCTAATTCAAGTCTCTATTTCAAAGCTCTTTCAGTTATACGCGCCTCAATTGTATCAGTCTCAAACCAACCGTAAGATTTGCGTACCAAACATGTGCTTCGCATCTCTTGACTTAGTCGTCGCCGAGATTTCTGCCCAGGAGCCTTGGGCATATATGATGAACGCTGTTCGCCAGTACGCCGAAAACATCAGCCACAAAGATTCCACAGACCTACAGAAGGTAAGCAATTTTCCTTCAGCTTGAGCAGGAAGCTACATCTCTAACCTTTCTATCATCCCTTCATCAGGATGACATCCAACTGTCTTTCTATGAGCTCTTTCCGGGCAATGAGCTCCCCATGTGGGCTCCACAGATGGTTACTGAGGTACGTTTTTTTACTGCCTACTTCATTCCGGGTATGATCAGTCAAAATACATTCTGATGAATGATCCGCTTTCTAGAATTCAACCCTAGATGATCAACGTGCCGCTTCGACAAGATCAAAAACTGACAATGCGGAAGCATACTGCGCTACATCGTTCAATCTGCCATTTGACGGTGATGATTCTATAATCGAAATCGAAGTCTTAGATTCCCCCACTAGCTCCGTATTGGTGGAAAACGTATCTTTCTGCTCTTCCGAAGCAGAAGAGATCACCTCAAATGGATCTGGAAGCACTTTTGGCTCTCTCTCCGAAGACTATTCCAAAGGCCACGTCGAAGTCTCATCGGTCTTCAATTCTCTGGCTACTGATAAAGAGCGGGACGATCACATCAGAAAACTGGCAGAAGAATTCAAGAGAGATTGGGGGTTTGACTTTGAATTCTCATCAAACGACGGAACATTCCCCGGACCATCTTCTGTTATGGATTGCAACGAAGGAACAGTCGTAGCGATAAATATGGACGAATCAGTCTTTTTATCGCGGAGATCTTTCGAGGGTGGTGACGCCGATCAATCTTTTAATCCTCTCTTCGACGGTCAAGATGGTATGATTGAGTTTGAGAACTTGGTTGATGATGAACACACAATGGGTGATGCCGATGATCAATCCCACGATCTCAACTGCCTCGATCAAGAAAGACGAGAAAAGCAGTGGCTATCTGCACAGAGACACTCAATAGCGATTCGATTGAACCCATTCCTTTCACATCTGTTCAATTAGATATTTTGAGCCAAGGTGATCAGCTTGCTTTTAGTCTTTTAATAAGAAACCGCTGTCAATTCCATCACATATACCACCGCACCGCTAATCACTACTTCAACATCGGCACAAAAATTTAATTTCGAAGAATCCATTAAAGATATACTGCACTGCTAGATACCAAATCGAGATAGATTTTGCAAACACCCTCAGCTCAACACAGCTTGTAAGTAGATAAATCTTATTTAAAGCATCCCATAGATAACCTTTGTGCGTGTCTGGTTCTATTCAGGATCTAATTTTTATCTCATATCGTTCATTTCCTATTGTTGTAACATTCAGTACTTTTACCTAATAACAGAAAGCAAAAAAATTAACCATCAATTCCAAAAAAAAAATGTATCAGGTATGACTTTGGAGCCACTTGAAACAAAACTCTTCTGTTTGAAGGGAACACAAATGCTTCAAAAACTTTAAAAAATAACAGCTCATGTTATTCTACACCTGTAGATTTAAACCGGGCTACCTGAATCTACCCAAAATCAGCGCAGTTTTAAAAACCCCAGTGTTGCCTGCACCATTAACCTAGAGCCCGGGTAGTGCACGCCCAGCAGTCTTGGTCAGTGGGTCATGTTGATGAGGAACAGGGTAGAGGTGTGGGAGAGTGAGACAGCGGAAAAACTTGGCTGAATAATATGACAGTAGAGAGTTTAAGAGAACAAGATATTTGTCATACAAGAGAAAATTGACACAAGGTGACTTCTAACCATACACCATAAACTTGTTCACTTATCAAAGATGCAAGGACCTTAGCTTTCATGATGATCACTGATGACTTTCAGTCTGAAAGTTAATCAACTCAATCCAGAAGCTATGATCATTTTTTTCAAGTCATCCGTATATCTCTCATTTGCATCAAAAAAGAATACATCTCATGGTTTTGTTTCTAAAGATAGCTAGATGAGAACAAGATAGAGATAAAATTTAAATCTTCATGCTCTGCTTTAGGATGAGAATTATTTGTGTTCTACCATTGATAAAAAAGTGGATTTTAAACCAATCTTGGTCAGAATAGAATTATTCGGGGTGGTGGAATTCTGAAACCCAATTTGTGAACTTACCAATAAAGTCCCAACTTCTGTGTTTGTGGTGTTTTGATGATAATAAATTGACTGATTTTTTGAATTGTTGAGGTTCAAAGTTTTTGAGTGAGGATCTTGAACCTAAGGAACATTTTATAAGTTGATTTGTCAAAAGAACATCTCAATTTTTCATCGGATATATTAGATTTTATCTCACCTTTTCAAAGGTTACAATCTCTTGGGAGTTTCTTTCCATCTTGGATTCGAACCTGTACAATATCAAGAGGTAAGTATAACTTGACGATATGACGATGAGGATACTGGCTGGGCAATCAGAGCTGTTTGGTGAACGTTGCTTTGGGAAGGGGATAAGCCGTTAAGGCACTTCGGATGGGTAGACTTCTTTCGGACGGATTCTACAAGTTGTGGTAAGGTCGAGAATGGAGAGGAGTCAAGTATCCACTAGTTGAAGTCTGATGTATAGAGACCGATGATTTATGGATACGGGTTAAACTAAAATGATAAGCAACAGGGATCTAGCCAAAGGTCAAGGGCACAACAGAGCAAGATAATGTCACCTGAGTGTATGAATTGGGGATGGTGAGGAATCTAGAGCAGTGAAAAGTTTCCTTCTTTATACTCAGAATCTAGAAATTCCATCAACTTTTCTACACTACCAAATATGTATCAAGAGAACTTGAGACATGCATCAGGCAGAGGCACAATGGCATGGACTGTTATGGAAACTCGTTCTAATCTGTTATTGAGCTTCAAATAGTTTATATATCATCGGGTTGAGCGACCTCGATGATGCTGAAGACACCTTGAAGAGACCAAGGGAAAGTACTGTATTCCCGCTCAGGTTGCGGGCGCAGCGCAAAAAACGCGCCTTGGGCGCGCCGGATGGAAATGACGTATGGTAATGACAGGTTTTTGTGATAAAGGATGAGGGGGTAATTACATTTTCATAAATCACGAAAGCGATTCCCTTTAGGAATTGTCTCATTCATTTTTTTTGCCCACGTCCTGGTTTTGAGCCTCCAGGTCTGGTACGTTCTAGCACGGCTGTACGGTCTTTGTTGAGAATACCTTGGAAATGATCGTATTTGCTTGAAAGATCATGTCAAACCCCAAAAGAATGAGATGCTTGAAAACAAAAACTATCGTGTGCGGTGCGACACACCAAATCGCGAACGGCAAGAGCCGTGTAAGGGTTCCCCTTGCGGGTTGCATTCAGGATTAGAAGTTATGTCTTTAGATCGTGGATTCTAGTATTACTTTGCCCTTGCTCCCGAGTGATTGCTCTCCTAATTAAGGAGTAACTCCTACTCGGAGCCAGGTGAGCATTTGTTTCTTTTCAGTTTTTATCATTTTCTCTCATATGTGTGTTTAGTTGTGGTAGTTGACTAGAAGGAGTGACTCCTACTCGGAGCCAGGTTGATTGGAATTTATGGTGACGTCTGAAAGGTAGTGTGAGCTTTCGAGCTACCCTTTGTGAATCCAGTGAAGCTTCTCACCAACAGAACCTTTCAGGCCGCGGGCACGTAGGCTTTGATCATCTCTTGAGAAACACACTGGTGCCACCGGTAACTGGTGGAGAGAAAAGTGTTTTCCTATTCAGTAAACCTGCCGAGTGTACATTCAAATTGGCTAGGCGCCCTTTGAAGTTCGCACAGCTTCACACCCCTGACCCCGGCCAGGTGTGTTTCCAATCAGTTCCAATCCCATATGCATGTTCTGGTTTGTTCTTCTCCACCTTGCCCGTGCCTTCTAACACTTCAGTCACAGTGCCACAGCTCCGAAGTCAGAAGTTCCCTGAGCTGTGGCTTGTACAATGTAGAACACTACGTGTAAAATCATTTAAGCGCTTCCCCTCTACAAGTAGAAGCAATTTTCTATAAGAGCGTCTTATCCGCTTCTCTCCTTTAGGGTTCGTTGCTCTTGGTCAAATCATTTCATCTTTCCACAAGTTGAAAGAACTCAATTGACATTGTTCTTCGTCACTGGCTTCAATCAAAATGCTCTACACGTTCCTCCAAGTCTCCCTTCTACTTTTCTGCCTGTTGGTCCGTGATGTCTTAGGCAAACATGCGTGCAAGCAATCGTTTCACTCAGCCAAACCAGGTAGATCAAGTATGTGATATCATCTAAATCTTCATTGCCTTGAGAATTTAGCATAACCCGTACCCACAACTGATGCAGACCAATTTTTTCATCACTCACATTAAAAGCATGCATGGGGGACGTGAGTACGTATGACTGCGCGACAAAATCCTGCTCGGCTGGCTTGGAGACCGGTAAGCAGTTGTCAAATCAGGCTCGATTGCTTTGAAATCCAATCTTGTAGCAAAGCTGATTAGCTGTGATCAAACTTCGAAAAATCGTTCAAGGTTACCTTACATTACAATTCTGTAGAAGCTTCGATAACATCAGATCCGAGCGGATAGTAAAATGTGATGAATATGAATACAACACCGGTTATATTTGTCAGTGTCTTCAATTTTGATTGTCTACGCCTTATAGAAAGGTGTTATTCAAGGCTGATTTTTTCCTTTGAAAATCATCGATGCAAAATGTTCAGTGTGTCGTGTTTCAAAGAGTGGAGAAATATTTAGATGCTCTAAGGCACTCAATCCTGGAAGGGTCTTGGGTCAGTCAAGATTTCATTATCGATTTCAAGTATAACCAAACTAAAAAGAGGTGATCTCCTTTCAGAATGTTCGGATTGCACAGCGTCGTAGATCACCGCGACTTACCCTTAGAAGATTAGAACACATAAATACCTTGAAGAGTGACTTTGTATGGTGCTAATTATGCGTCCAGATATGTTTCAAGATAAATGATCCAAACTGAATGAATTGTCCATGTCTGGAATTAATGGCCATCGTGGTAGTTTGGGCGTGAGGACTCCAGGCAATTGACCTCCACATTTTTTCTCAGCGGATTCTTTTGAGTTTATTTTTGACCTCTATAGTGAAAAGCACATTCAGTCTTGACTTTACACTTTTACTTGCGGAAGTCTGCAAGAATGCCAAATCGTTGCTTGTTTTAACAGCTTAACTAAGCCCCTCGCGAGCGCGTTGGCCTGCGAGGGAGCTTGTTTTACGAGGAAAATTTGAAGTGTACTCAAATCATGATTGATGTCCTCGGCATTCTCAGTTTAACTTTCAATCACGTCGCTAGAATTCCAATTCATTCCCGTCGCGGGGGCTTGAGGGCTCTTGAGTCTTCAGAGGGTGGGTGGCCGTATCTATGTACGTAGTACATACATATCACTTCAGTCTTCAGCCAAGACTACCGGAAAAGTTAGATCTTTTCGAGATACGCCTCTGGACCTGGTCGCATTTAAGCTAGCCGTCCGCGCTAAGCTTAACTAAGCTTACGTCCGCACCCTTGAATCTTCCCGGACTTGCACGCGCCTTCCCATGCTTAAGTGCCACCTAAGCTTAACTAAGCCCCTCTAGCGCGTTCGCCGCGCCCTCGCAGAGGGGCTTATATCGGACTCGCGTTTCATGGCGGGAGAGCTCCAGAAATTAAGTGCCTTTATGTACTTTTCTGGAGCTCTCCTCAATTCCTCACCGTAGGATTTCTCAAGGTTCAGGTATGTTCTCCTTCATGAGGAGCTACACAACCTCGTACCACTTTCATCAACAACTGAGAGCTGTGACGCTTTCAGGAAACGTTGCGCAAATGGTTTCTTACGTCCTCCTGTAACAGCCTAAGCATGCCAGTACAGGCCTGTACTGGCCTTCACCGAGATTTGGATGTTTGGTCCTTCGCCGAAACTGCCGCCGAAATGGATAAAAGCTAAAACCCTTAAGATATTCATCAAAACCCTTGGATATCGAGGGACACTTATCCCGGTGGCGCGAGGTCCTTTATTGTTTTACAAAGACGAAACCCTTGTGGTGTTTTGTCAAGAAATTGGTAGTTTCCGACGAAGCTGCCATTTCAGCCTCCTGGTCTGAAATAGCCAGCTACACATTGCAACAAACTGGAAATCCGTTTTGAATACCCTTACTTCCAACAAATCTTGCTGAAAGTGGTACGAGGTTGTGTAGCTTCTCATGAAGCTACACATATCTGAACCTTGAGAAATCCCACAATGAGTATTTGAGGAGAGCTCCAGAAAAGTACATAAAGGTACTTAATTTCTGGAGCTCTCCCGCCATGAAACGCGAATCCCATTTAAGCCCCTCTCTCGACTACTCGCTCGTCCGAGAGGGGCTTAGTTAAGCTTAAGTGCCACCAATGCTCAATAACGGCAACAGCTCAGAATCCAGAAGCTACCCTGATCCTGTGGCTTTTACATCCAATTGTCTAGCCCCCTCACCTTTGGGTAAATTTGTTTTTCTATAAGAACTGGGACCCTCCAAGGCTGCTCTCCGTTTCATCCCTCTCGTGCAAACCTGAATCATTTTGAATTTTTCCAAGTTGAAAGACCTCCTTCTTCTTCCTCTCTTCTTGTATGACCAAAATGCTCCACGTCTTTCTTAAGCTCTCCATTCTCCTCTTTTCCTTGTTGATTCATGATGTGTTCGGCGCTACTAATACCAACGATCCTCCTCCGGTTGTTCATTCTTGTAACGGCAAGTTTAGAATACTCGGAGATCGAGCAGGTATGTGAGACCATTAAAAATCATCATTTGTTTAGCCCTTCAGCATCATCCGCGCTCAAGGCTAATCCAGACCGCTTTTATGATCGCTCATGTTCAAAGAATGCATCGGATCTGATGTTGTGCGTAACTGCGCGTATAAATCTTGCTGGCTTGCTGGTAAGTGGTTGAGAAACTAATCTTGATTACCTTGAATGTTTCGATCTTGTAGTAAAGCTCATCACAAGCTTGATTTTGATTTATACCCATTTATCTCAGGTCATCAATACGTTCCAATGACTGAATGCAAGCTCGCAAAATCAACCGACACAAGATTAAGTGGTCAACAATGTGCTCAATATGAATTCATAAACAGCGACCTGAGAAATGTTCATTTCAGTCAGTATCTTCAATTTCTCGACGAATTTATGGCCCAAACAAAAAGTGCCTTATTCCAAGATTGTTCTGTTTCAATCCAAAAATCCTCAGAGTGTAGGAATCCTGGTAATGTAGATTATCTGTGTCCTCCTAATGCCAATAATATTGGCAAAGTCTTGGGTCAGTTCGATTTTGTTTATACAATTTCAAAACAATAAATTAACACAAACGACTTGATTTTCTTTCAGGATGTTCCGATTGCTATCCGGTATGAATGACTGCACAAAAACTCCAGTCCTTGCTCGTCTCGTATCATTCCATAAAGAATATAAACAAAATCACTTCGAGAGCGGTTTTGTATGTTATGACTTATTTATCAAGACCTTGTCAAATTTAAAACGTTTAAGATGAGTTGAGCTGGTAAATAAAGGCAGCTTGAGATGTCTCCCGCCTCTCTATCCTACAAAAAAGAGGTCTTAATTGAGAGAACCTTTCCAATCATAATGAGAACTAGAAGAATCATTCGGTTCAGGTCTGATCTTGAAACTTTTTTGAAAGATTATCAACGACTTTCAAAGAATGATACTGATGTTAGTCAAGGTGATGATATCCTGATCATTGAAATATCATATTCGAAGCTTCTTTGTACATCTTTATCAAAATTCGATAGAATTCGATCTGTTCATTCATCGTTTTTCTTGCAGCCATTCTTGTAAGGCTTGCCTCCCCTAACAACTATAAATTGAAGAATTGAGTAGTCAAAACCTGATAAAATTTCCGATGGCCCATGGACTTTAAGATGATCACCAGCACATCTCAGAATTCTACCTGATATTTTGAGGAATTGCCCTGTAAAAAATGAGGTTATGAACACTTGATTTTCCGCTAAGCTCTGCAAGAATGGCGACATGTAAGATCATTGAAAGTCTATATCTATTCATTTCATAAAAAATACAAATTCAATTGATTACAAACCAAACCAAGACCCAACTTAACTTTTAATTTTCTCAAACCCCCCAATGTTCCTATACTCATCCATTCCATTTCCATGATCCCCCCAGAAAAACCCCAATTCACCAATCCTCCAAACCCATAATTATTCCGAACTTTTCAACCCTTCCAAAGTTCTCAACTCTTGTCCAATCGAAATAAATTTAATTAGTTGATTTTCAAATTTCAAATGATTAGAAAACCTCAAAGATCTTTTGAAATGATCTTCAAAATTTTTCAACAAGAATTGATTTGGTAAACTTTTTAATGTATCTTGACAATCAAGTAAAGGTGTATATTTCTTTAATAAATTTCCAATTGATTTTTCTTTTTGTCTTTTACTATCTAATTCTTGATTTGTAGATGTTGAATTAATCATTAAATCTAATAAAATTAAAAGTAATTCTCTGGATTGATTTTCATCTTTTTTCTCTATATTGTTGTCATTATTATTCATCATCATAGGATGTGGTGTAGAAGTAGAAGTAAGTAATCCAGATCTTTCTAAAATATTTTTCACTTGATTTATATTTAATAACGATCCAGATCTAAGACAATATCTTTCACTCGAATCCAAATCTTGTAAAGTCACTGCAAGTAAAGAAAGTGCAGGTCTGTGAATCTTTAACTAAATAAACCCCAATCGATCATCAAGAACAAGTCAATCAATCAAGACTTAAAGGACTAATCAAGTTATAAAAACTTACTTTAGAATAAGCCATAGCTCTTTCAAAAGCCATCATCTCAGAACACCCACCCATATCTTCCAAAGCACGTCTAACACTCGTCACATCATATCCATCATCCCCATTACGTTCCCAAGGATCCAAACAAACCATCAATTTCAATCTAGTTAAAATCGGATCATGATGACCAAACCTATCCAATGAATTAGGATCAGCTCTAGGTAATTCAACCAATTCCAAATGAACTTTTAACAGATAATCCACAAAATTTGGTACTTCTGAACCAGATGAAGTTTCCAAAAGATATCTATTAATTATTTTTCGAAATAATTCACTAATTGCCGAATTCTGAGGTTTTCCATCAATTAATTGAGACTTCATTCCTTCTTTAAGTCTACCTAAGTATCCAAGAATCAAAGAAGTCCTTAACCGGCTTACATCCACATTCATAGCCACTTGTCTTTTCTTACTCCTTCTTGCAGAATAATTACGTAACACAAGATGTTCAAGATAAACTTCGACAACCTCTTCATTCACTTCTTTTAATTTCTCTAAAGTTTCTTGTATGTCAATCGATTCAGAAACTAATGATTCAGTTAAAAGTTTGATAGACAAATTCCAATTATGTTTTGCTAACCAAATCGCGTAATGTGTCACCAAGTTTAATTGATTTGTTTTTTGTAATAAGTTGACCATTTGTCCCAATGGTTCGTTGAATGAATCATCCGCCCATTCTTTATCATGAAGTCTATTCGCCAAAGAAGATCAAACCAGCGTAATTATTTAGTGGATCTGAAGAGATAATCAAAGAGGATCTAGATTCATACCTTGACCAAGTTTCCAATACTTTTGGAAGATTATTCAATCTATAATACAATTCACCTAAAAGTGTAAAACATTGATTTTTTTGTAAAATGATCTCTAATTCTTCTGGTATACAAGTATTAGGTCTCTCAAGTAACAATTTCAACTCTCTGTAAGAATCTTGATCATTTCCTCTTCTTTCAGCTAAGAGTTCAGCCAGAGCAGTATCTACAATCTGGAGAAATAACATAGAATATCATCAGTATCACCGTAAATTTGGAAGAAAAACAAGTCTGGAGAAAACTTAACAGTATCAAGATGTCGATTTGAAAGACTTGCACCACCATTTAATAATCTATCACGTTTCCAACGACGTAAATAAGATAAAACCATCAATTTCGATTTTTCTAATAAGACGGCTTTCAAATCCATCGTCGAAGCTGCATTTTCTACATCTGGTTTGATATGAGGTGAATAATTTCGTACTAGATTCCCCATAACTTTTAGTCAATGATCCACAACCAATGGAAAATAGAACATGATAGAAAGAGGAAGAGATTCGACAGATCGTTGAGAAATTAAAGAATCGGATCATTTCAAGAGGAAGGGTATATTAAGAAAAGTGATGAGATGAAAGAATCATTTACTCACTTATCGCATTAGCACTTTTAATCTCTTTTATCAGTGTTTCTAAGCCACGGTATACATCTACTTCATCATCTTGAGCTACCACATTGGCTCTCAAGTAAGGAAACAATTCAATCAACACCCGTGGATCTCCTTTTCCTTTAAACCATAATTCTCCAGCTTCTTGGAATTTAGTTTCTACTAGATGATGTAATGCGATTTTTTGATATATATAGTAAATTCGAATCATGAAGTCTTTGTGACCTGTAGATCCTAAGCGGGACGTGGATTGATAAGATCTAGAAGAGTAAGGTGAGGTGTTTTCATTCATGCTTTTGGCCACGGTAGATTCGACTAATCGAAGTGCATCATCCCAACGAAGACTAGAAATAAGAGATTCCACCTGGGTCAAAAAAGGTTTAGTACACAGCGCATGAACCGAATCTCTTCCAACCAATAAAAGTGAAGATTGACACGCCGGAACTTCATTTGATTTATAAGATGAATTCCTATGATGTGGTATAGTCGGTGTAGTAGGACTAGAGAGATCTTGAGGTTGATTTGAAGAGAATCGAGATTTGATTAATTCGAAATCAGAATCAAATGATTTACCCGGAAGAGAAAGTCCGAATTTAGTGGATGATAATGTTCTAGGCTCTAATCCAATAGGAAGTTCAATAGTTTGTAAAAGTTCTTGTGTTTCTAATGAATGAATTTCAATTGTTCCATTGAAGAGTAAAGCTAGCACATGAGTTTCATCTACTGAAATACTTCTTGGATTCGAGAGCCATTCCAAAGTACCACGACACGGATCACCAGTTGAAGAAACAAAGACACCTAAACAGGTTGTACCAGTATGAGAAGCAATAAGAAATTCATCTGAATTAGGTATAGCTGACATAGAAGGCCTATGTTGTGAACTGAGTTGTTGATTTGGATCATTATTAGATTGAGAAATCGGTAAAAGTGGAATCAGATTGGCTACAGATTGATTTAAAGAAACTAAATAATATTGTTCTATATCAGATAAAAGTAGAACTGAACGTCTAAGAATCCCATTAAAAGCTGCAGAAGTAAATGAAACTTCATGAATTTGTTGAATTCCGCTTTCTTGTAAATAATAAAGATGGATAGTTTTTTTCTTGATCACACACATCGTTATATCTGTTTCTTGAGGTAGATTATCAAATGTATCTTCATCTAGAGTGACAGCTGAAACACCTCTGATGGTAGGAAATCCAGGTAGAGGATCTAAATCATTGATGGAATGAAAACTGACAGCTCCCTCTAGTCAATAAAATGATCGATATTTAGAAAAAGGAAAGTTGAGATTAGAGGTTGCTCATTCAAGAATGAATAAGAATTTGAAGTTAACGAAGATCGACACCTGATAGAATGACCGCCATTGAGATGATAGGAATCAAAATCAGCTTCTCCACTGGTTTTGATTTGGTGGTCTCAGTTGAAGGAAAGACATGATGATCTTGAAAACAATTTGCTTCAAGGTGTCCGTCGAGTAGATCTGAAGTTTCAGAGTGTTTAGTTCCAGTTGGCGATTTTGATGAAATCGGACTACTCAGTGAAGTGGAAGTAGTAGGTGAGATTGATTGCGATTCTAAACGGTTTATCGGAGAGCTGGGGTTTGATTGATTGATTTGCTTTGCGGGTTTGATATCGAAACCTTTGACTCGACCTTCATTTGAACCGATCCATAGGAAAGAATGATAACCATCTACGGATTTGACCACTGGGCTTTTAGAAGATGAAGCTGTTGATGAAGCTGATTGGATTGAGAAGACAGGTTTGATCAATGTTCTGAGCTGATATATCGAATCGGTTGACTTTGAAGTAGTAGCCATCAAGTTCGACAAAGTAGGAATTCGATGAAGATTAATCGATCAATGGTAAACAACTCAACAAATCTATGTAAACCGATCAACTGTATGCGCACCATCTCATTGCAGAAAACCATGACCGATCGGGTCGGGCACTCATCACACCCGGGTATCTCGATGATTACACATGTAACATAACTCAAACTGCAAGTACATATATGTAATCATCAAAAATTCAACTCTTTGCAACCATCAAAGAAAGTAAACATAACAAAGTCCCTCACCAAAGGCCCGAGCTGGGGCGGTGTCCATTGAAGCCTGCAGAGAGGGACTTACTAGAAGTCCTCTTTAGTTGTTTTTTGAATCTTCCAGCTTCCATCCTGGATAAATCCACCTGTTTGTCATTATGAATGTTGTTCAGACCATCTTCTACATGTGTTGAGCCCACCATGATCCCAGGAAAAAGGCCTGAAAAGTCTTTCCATGAGCTCATTTTTCAAGTGCTTATGTCCCACTAGTAAGTGGGAGGACGGCCTGTATTTACACTGTACCATCTACGTCATTTGGAGAATATGACTATGTATGTCAGAAAGTCCAAAACATGTTTGTTGTCATTCTGAGCAGTTTGAGAAATACAATTTCAACTCTCCATGGACTTCATCTGAACTCAAAGCGCTCTATCATCCTTGAGTTCTTAAGCTTGGTTACCGTTCCAAATTTGTACAAAAACACATATACCCAAGTGATGTATCTCTTTCTAATTCTTTGATCGAGTGGAGTAACCAAATTCAAACAAGTACCTCTTTGGTATTCACTTGCAACTTCAATTCCACTTGCCCTATATATAAGCCCTGGCAAGGCCTTAAAATCTCTATGTGTTCAACATGATTATTGATTCAAGGGAGCTAAGGAGGCAAAAAAGGGATTGAGAGTTTTGTCAACAGCAGAAAATCATGCTCAAAAAGCTTTGGAAAAGAGCCACAATGTGTTGTAGCATCCTACCAAGTATCTGGTAGAACACACTGCCCACATTCCCCAAGAACTGAGGCTACAAGGATGTGTATAAAATGATTCTAAACAACGGATTTATAAATGAGGGCAGTGAGAACATGCAAAAACAACTTGAGAGGATTTAAGCTGTGGAGTTCTCAAGCCAAAAAACAGCAATTAGTTGTAACTGTCTCTCTGCAGGATCTGAGGGACACCGCAAGGGGGACTTTCTTAAGTTAACAAAGAAAGTGAGCATCAGAAGACTTGTGCAACCCGTTCACCGCCCACTGGCAGGATAGATTCCAATTTGTGAAGTCCCTGCGCAGTCAAGACAGCATACCTCATGAGGCCAAAAGCATTCAATTAACCAATCCCAACAGAGAAGGCAATAGATTGGATGATTGGTAATATCATCCTTTTACCAAAGTGGCACAAGTCAATTTTAGCTTTGGGCCCATTGTTCATATTAGAAAGACACAAAACTGTAAGGGTCAGGTGGATGTGAGGGATATGTGTGGTTCTGGGATTATGGAAGGATGTGACAGGTAGCACAATTCATCCCCCCTTACTATATTATCTTGCTTTGTGGATTCTTTCTCTTTGAATTTTGTGTGTACCTTTTGATGTGTTTCTTCAGTTGTGCTGTTTCTGACTGGCAAGTTGCTGGACTAGCAATGGAACAAGGCGATTTGAATAAATCCCAGCTTGTCTAGCGCTTGCACCAACTGTAGTGTACCTCATGGTGAGGGGAGATAACACTCCCCTCACAAAAACCCATGTCTTTGATAGATAAATCATTGAGGTTGATGTGAGGTAGCAACATGTGTCTTGGATAGATCATCAAATTCAATGTGGGGTAGATGCATATGATCATGATGATCATATGCCAAACTCTAATTAATCAGGGAGTGGCTGTCCAGTGTTATTGAATTGAAAATATGTGAAGATACTTTGAAATCAAAATGTACACAAAGTCACTTTGCCCAATCCCTAATGTTTGGTGTGATGAGATGAGATGATAAGCTACTGCAACAATGGGAGATGCTCTAAGTCTACTGTACTTAGAGCATCCACTATGGGCATGGTAACCAAGTGATTCAAAGTAAGATTACCACTAAAGTACAGCAAGGTCCACTATGGACCAGTTTTAGACTTGTGGTCCGTAAAACTGTGTCAAATTGTGTATCCCACCTGTTTGAATTCACAAAGGCCTGCAACTTGATTTATTGTAGACTTTTGGCGCATTGAATTGGTCAAAAGCCGTACATCCAGCTTCCACACCCAACACCTTCACTTGACAACTTCCCTCTGACCTCAAGACAACCCTGGGCCAGCAACACAGATGTTGCGTGCGGCGCTGCGGTTGCATTGCGGTTTTTCTGACCGCACCACACCGTAGACTTAATTTCTATGTTGCGGCCTGACCTGCAGTGCAACAAGATCACTCAAATTGTTATTTTTTGGGGGCCACAACAACGTTTGTTGCGTTGCTGCCCCCAAAAACTTACAAATCGGTGTTTTTTTGGCGCTGTTGCGCCTGTTGCGTTGTGCAACGGTTGAGGCAGCACGCAACCTAGCCTTGACTTTTGTTGTTGTGGTACTTCCCGCAACACAGTGTCTGCTGCTTGTTGGTGTTGTGTGTTGTGGAGCAACACATCAAAAAACAGGTGTGCTGTGGCGCGTTGCGTTGCTGGCACAGGGTTGCTCAAGATACCAAAATATCAACAGTGGGTCCTCCCTCTGAACCTTTCAAATCATGCCATGCTATTTTTTTTAAGAAAAGTGAGCTCTCCTGATTGATTTTACTGAAATCAAGCAAGACATTCTTGTTGCTCATGCTCCACATATGAAGCCCAAAGTTGACAGGCATCAATCTGTCTGGTCACAAGAGCAGTCATTGGCGAGGATTGAGTTGCATGAGGTGGGTAAGATACAATACTTTGATCAGTGATTTTGCTATTGGGTTTAGCTTGTTCCAAGAGTATTATTGTTGGTAAATCAGAAAGTAAAGCAGCTTGTAGTTCATTTCATGTGTTTACCAATTTAGTTGTCATCCACACAATTACACTTTTCAATCAGGAACACAAAACTTACAATGAAACACCCTCATGATACACCACAGGGTAACTTTTTGTTGGAATACTGGCAAAAATTTGGTTGTGTCACAATCTGCCTGAATGCTGGACAAAAAATCAGTGTTTGGCCAGACAATACCAGCTGATTTCTGGTCAGGAGATCAGCCTTTTGACAAGAAAACAGCTGGTTACCCGCCATTTGGTCTGGTGAGAGATTGACCAGCCTTTTGGCAAGCAAAAGACAGCAAAAGGAGCTGTCTTCATGAACCAACTTGCACCATGTCCGTGTGGTGTTTGCCCGTCAACAAGCAGACACAAGTCACCTTTGAGCCTCAAAGGCAGTCTACGTGTGCTTGTTGTTGGGAAACTGCCACAAGGACATGGTGTTGATCCCATGAAATTGAATTTGGTTCTGTGCATTTGCCTCCCTTTTTTATCTTGACAACAGGAGAGCTCCTAGAATCCATTCTTTGGTCTGGGAGCTCCTCCCCATCCTCCCTGACATCAATGCCTCAACCCACAAGGGTTGGATGGCATTGCTATGGGAGGGAACAAAGAGCTTTGCTTGATCAGCTCCCCAATGATTGACAGCATACAAACCTGTCTTGGAGACTGTCTGTAGGCTGCCAGATGGCCCATCCAACAGCGGTCAGGCAATCTTGCTTTTTGACGGCAGCTCCCGCCACTGACCATCTGGTGGCGGACGTCCACCACCAAGCCAATCTTGCCACGTGATGGTAATCCATGCCTGCCAAATGACGGTATGGATTACCCTGTGGTGTAGTGGATGCTCTAAGACCTTGCAGCAGTGGCACATCAGTTGCTACATGTTACAAGTTTGGGAAGATGAAAAGAATTGTACTTGTTTGAAGGAAGAAATATTTTGATTCCTCAAGAAAAAATTACTGTACATTGTACGCAAGCACGAGGTGGACCACTTTTCTCTTTGCTCCAGATCAAAATCTTGGGTAGGGAGAAGTGTACAAGAGAGCATGCAAGAATGCTCCCTGCATAAGAGGCATCTCTCAGTTTATATGTATGTTGTACAACATATGTGACTTAATCGAGTTTGTCGTATGTAAGTCTCTCGCCCAACGTCTCGCGAGGGCGCGAGCGCGGGACCTTTGAAGTTTGCGGTGATGAATTGTAAGAGTCACATGATCCTGGGCACGACTGCGGCACAGACATCACGTGCTCAGTCAACAAAACCCATCAACTTGCTCTGAGATTCCACATCATCATTGTGGAATCCAAAGCCTATTTTCATACTTATGCGTTTTTTCTATCTTTCTATTGTTCACTACAGGTACTTTATCATCATTGTGGAATCCAAAGCCTATTTTCATACTTATGCGTTTTTCTATCTTTCTATTGTTCACTACAGGTTATGAGCCCGCGCTCTAGATCTTGACGATACGGCTGACCTGAATGAGAACACGGAATCAAGATTATGCTGCTAATCCTCGATCTCCGCCAAAACGTAGAAAACGAACTCAACGCAATAATCAACCTTTACAAGAACCTGAAATAAGTGCTCCGATTGAAAATCCACAAACGTTATCTTATAATCTTTCTTCATTACCACCAATACCGCCCTCTCCACTTAACTTTAACATATCCACTCTACCTCCGTTACCAGACTCTCCACTAGACTCTCCGATTACATCTTCGTACTCTCCCCACTCACCATTAGACTCACCTACTGTTCACCCGCAATTTCTTGTATATTCGATATACATCTCTGATTCACCGGAATTCCCAGATTCCACTGCGTTTAATCCTCTACCCGACTCTGCTGCACTACCTACTTCCCCGATATTACTCAATCCTGCTGACTCCGATTCGGAGATCATTCTAAAGTTCTCACGACTCAACTTAACATCAAATACTGACTACGTTACTGCTAGACCTATCAAGCCATACCCTACGTTACCTGAGAATCCTTTCGAACACACCGAGCGACTCTACAACTCAAACCCTGTGACCTTCCCAGCAAGATACTTCATCTCCAACATGTCTACTGAATCGAAATCACAATCTACGAACAATACGTTAACGGCTCAAGATATCTTGGAGGCCCGCGAAAACCTCAGCGATGAGATCAAATTTGATCACTTATCTACGAACGGATCAAACTTCATTGATTGGAAGAAGAACACAGCAAGAGCAATCAAAGCACTGATCGGCATTAAGAACTATTGGGATGAAAAATTACCGGTGTCCAATTACTTAGACAGAAAACGAGATGCGTTAGCGGCTAGTGTAATCAACAACACAATCCATGCGACCCTGAAGAACGTGACGGACGACGCGGACTCGGCGTACGAAGCCATGGAAGCTCTACAGAATCACTTCAGGAAAGGAGGCCGAACTGCTCAATTCTCACTTTTTAATAGGCTGATTAACCTACGTTTAGACCTAAATGAAACTGAAATGATAAATCATATGTCAAAAGTTGATGTGATCGTAGCTGAAATAGAATCTACTGGATTTATTTGGAACTCAGACTCAATCAAAGGCTTATTTTATCAAATTGTAATGCCTCCCGAGATGACTAAAGAGATTAATAAAGACTTAGATAACAAATACGACAAATCTAATCCTAACTACAAATTGAAAGATGTGAAATCAGCAATCCAAATCTATTTAGCTCGTGAAAGAACAGCCACAGAAACAATCACAATCAACAACATCAGTACTCAAATGCAGATGATGGCAGTCAACTCCACACCACGAAGCTTCACACCGAGCAGTCAGTCTACGCCTATACGCAATTATCAACAAAATCAATGTTTTGCGACACCTAACAGATTGATTCAAAAAATAGATCCTATCAGATGGCAACGAGGACCTCCAGCCTGGACAAAGAACGATAATGAAAGAAAAAACTCAGTCGATCGACCATTAGATATCCCGAGTTCAGCCGTTGGAGGTGTGAAAGCAGGCCTACTTCAATGTTTCTTCTGTGGTAGTTTTGGTCACACGTACAGTGCGGGTGGTTGTAAACCTTATGACGGCAACAGTGATCGACACCCCGGGCAAACAGGCGACGCTACATATGAAGCGTCGCCCTGACGCCCCGGGGCCGGGCCTGAGGCGTCAGATATCATATGTAGCAGAGTCTGTAAGGGTCAGCTGTTAGTATGTAGCGTCACACACACTAGATTGGCGTCAGCTACTTTCGCCTCCCAATAATCAACGTCACCATTATCCTATTGACTCTACCTCATCATCAACTTGCTCTTTCATTATGATTGATTCGTCGGTTCATTGCACTTGCAATCAGTGTATCAAACAAGTTTGTACAGACAGCCATGGTAAACAAGTTCAAGGCCAAATGGTTCATCCCAGAACTCAACAAAGGCATCTCGAGAATCATACGGAAGACCTTGAAAGCGAAATAATGACGGAGTTAATTGGGAAGTTTGCAAGCATGAAAGGTACCACCGAACCTGGTCCTGAAAGCGAATACTCTTCTTCCGAGTCATCAGACAATCTCGAACGAGCTGGATCTACAGTCGAACTAGTCTGCAAGTAACCAAGTTCCTCATTAATTTTCCAGTCATCGACTATTTCTGCATAGCTGACAAACAAATTATAATCAGACCTTGTAACTTTCTTCATTGCTTGGCTCTACCTAGCTTGTAGTATGACTCGTGCCAACTGTCGAGCGGCACGAGATTATGTCGCCCGGATCATAGACCTGACCTCTCGCACTCGGCTTACTGAAGGCTGGATGGGCTCTATACCGAAGGATCCGCGAACCATAACCAAACGCTTGGATCTTGAAGCATCAATCGAGCGCCTGGTCTGCTGCCCCAAATGCTTTTCCTTATACGACATCAAAACATCTCCTGCAGAATGTGGATACCGGGAGGTCAGCACTTGCGATCCATGTGGAGCCGATCTATTTGCCTCGCACAACATTCCTGAATTGCCATCAATAACGAACAAACATCAAAAACCTCGGCCTTCTCATCTCAAGAAAAAGAGGACGCCTGTTTCCAGTTTCATGCTTCAAGATTTTCAGCATTGGTTAACCTGGTTTTTATCTCAAGCTCACGTTGAAGATGCCATTGAAAAATGGGATAAATTGTGCAAGTTGGAGTCAAATGGAATCTCGGATTATATTCAGTCACCGGCGTGGAGCGCTCTCTACTCCGGAATCAACAAATCATCAGCCACACATAGCTCATCTCATACATTAAGATTAGGGTTCTCTTTGTTTGTGGATTGGTTTAACCCTTTGGGAAACAAAATTTCAGGACTACAGGCATCGATTGGTATCTTCGCTCTTCACTGCTTAAATCTGCCACCTCAAGATCGCCATCTAATCAGGTACACTCACCTAGCTGGAATAGTCCCTGCTCCAGACCAACCAGACATGACTACAACGAGTCATGTCCTTGCTCCGCTAATTGATCAACTAATCGAACTCGACCGTGGGGTCATGATTAAGACACATCGACATCCGGATGGACGCAAGGTGATCGTTCGGCTCAGCATCCTTGTTGGCGATGTGGTTGCCAATCACAAGGTTGCAGGCTTCACGTCTCATTCTGGGAAATTATTCTGCCGGTTGTGTAAGTGTCTCAAATCCGATCTCCCAAAAATGACGGTCGGCAAGAAGAGAATTAGAAGGGATGTGCTTGAGGCGGCACATTACTGGAAGGCTGCCGACACGCTTGTACAACAAGAGACACGTGTTCAACGAACGGGTGTCCGATGGTCTGAGCTTAACCGACTGCCTTATTGGGACCCAGTGATGAATGTTGGTGTCGGTATCATGCACAACTGGTTCGAGGGGGTGCTTGCGAATCATTTCCGGTATCGATGGCGATTTCAAGTCCAGAAGAAGCTAGACCAGCAAGTGTTAGACGAAGCGGAAGCCGAATTGGATGATTGTGAAGAGGGCGAAGGATGGCTCTCGCATGGTTTGATAGTCTTAATGCTGAAGAATTTAAGAGACGTGAAGGTGCCAACTGGTATGACGAGAATTCCGAAGGGCGTTGGGACAGCTGCAAACGGGAAGCTCAAGGCCAGTGAATGGCATGCCCTTTTTGCTATACACTTGCCTTTGGCTGCGATCGATACTCTCATTGGGAATTACGAAACTTACGTCGACGGTCAAACTAATTCTCGCCTATTGATTTTACTTCAAAATTTCGTTGCGCTGGTGGAGTGCACTCACATCGTGGCATCCAGAAAACTGGGGGAACTGGATCCACAACGTTTCAAAAAAGCCTACTTCGAATATACAACCACATCAGAAAAGATCGAACCGGATGTCAGAATCAAACCCAATCACCACTATGCCATTCATCTGGCATCTCAGATGGAATGGTGGGGGCCAATTTTGGGAGTCGCTGAATTCGCTGGTGAGCGAATGTGTGGATTTCTACAAAAAGTCAATACTAACGGGAAACTTGGTGAGTTCTTTATACATTGTTTTTTACCCATCGTCAGCTTAATTTATTTTGAAAAATGTATTTTTTTGTAGGACAAATGGCGCAGACTATAATGTGTCGTTTTTGTCAGCTTCAAAGGTTGCTCGCGCGATCCCCTCCGGCTGATACAACCAATCTCGGGAAAAGCCAAAGGAATATCGGTCCGGCTTTTGAGGTGGATGATAAAACATACGACCGTCTCTTCAAATATTATCATGCTTTGGATAATCAGTGGGTCAACTTCAGGAAGGTTCCCTATCCGGATGGGGCGCGGGTTTTTGGACCGTTTGTCCAGGAGATCGCTGGTCTTGTGGGACAATATGGCCTTCAATACAGCAAGAAGAGCCCAAACAACATCGTAAGGATTGAAGTGGATGGGGCGGTTTCTTGTGCGAGGGTACTTCATATCTTACAATTGCAAGAACCTTTGGACACGGTGGTACAGGTGCAAGGGTTGTTAGGAGTCGATGATGCATTGCTGAATCCGCTTTTCAAAAGATTAGGTATCACCCGTGTCGTTGAAGACTCCCAGATTAGATTTATTCCGGCAAAGTCGATAGTTTCACCAGTGGCTCATAGACAACTCCCAGCTTGGACAATGGGGCTGAACAACCCTAGCCTGCTTGTCATGATGACGATATCTGGAGAAGCACCTGGAGAGTCCTCAAATTTTCAGGAAAACACCTCAGACGTTCAGGACATGGATAATCTTTACGCCTCTCAATTAGCTGAAGATGATATGGCAATGGACATTGATACTGATCCATCAATGATATAACACGTATCATCTGATTCCTACACATATGTATCCATTCATATCATTCTTGTTGTTTTATTTACATCTCATTGTGTTTCATCTCTTGTTGATCTTGTGGTTCAATATCAATTTGTGTGATTTCATCATTTGCTGCCTCATTGATCAAGGGCGAAACACGATTTAAACCCATCCCTCCCATGCTACCTCCAAACTTTGGAACGTCCACTTCTGTTCGTAACACTGTTGCGACACTCTTCATTCAATGTTCTACAAAGATTATAATGTCAGATCTTGAGATTGCGAAAAGGATGTATAAAAAACTCACCTGGTGGACTGATTGTTCAACATCCAAAGCTTCGTCAACCGGGTCGACTACTTCATCGACGACGACTTCCTCCTCCACATCCACAAAATTTGCCGCAAATGGTAAAAGGAACATGGGAATAGATCCTGTTGCTTTACCGTTGAGCGTGAAATCCAAAAGTTCAGATGAAACAACAGGGCGGATCGACCATTTTCCAGTGAGCATGGAAAGTTCTGATTCCAAAAAAATGAGGAGGTAGTAGGTGACAACAAAGGAGGTGAAAGTTGATAATCGTAGGGTTTCAAAAGAAACCTTGGACTCCATAACGAACTGTGTGTGCTGAGTAATCGAAATTTCGCCTTTGCAAAGCAAGATCCTTGTTGATTTTTTGAAAGAAAGCTCGAACAAGTAATGAAATAGATCTAAGAAAGAAAAATGTGATCTAACGCGATGTCGAGGGACATTCTTCCAGCGATGAAGAAGGTACAAGAATATACTGATCAGACGTTCGAACATTGATAAGATGGAAGGGGTGATTGGCAATGATCAAAAAGAAGAAAGGGTCCTTTTGCAATTATTAAAAGAGAGATTGTTTGGGAACTCTCGACGCTCTTGTCCATTTCAACGACACCGAATACGATCAAGCCCATCCCTTATTAATGTGACCAACCCGCCCAATTTGGAGTGCTTCCTCCCATGCACTCAAGTCAAACACGATATAAAGAGCTGAGGGTTCTCCCTTCACCTATCCACCTATCAAAACGATATACAAGACTCATATCAACCAACCAACAAGTCAGGCTAAAATACCATCACCATCATGTCTTTTTCAATGAATTTCCACGACACCCTTGATTGGTCAACTCTACCTGAGCATATTTTGCAAAACATCTTTTCACAACTTCCACGATTCCCGGAGGGCCATCAAAACATACATCTCACACGAGTGTGCAAGAGCTGGCACCAAGCAGCTATTCGAATGTGAGTTCTCCTTCCGCTTTTCGGATGATCCATCCCCTGACTGACAAGGTTATTCACAGGTGTTGGAGCGATCTCAGAGTTAGTGGCATGGTGGCCTTAGTCAAACTCAACATAATCGCCTTGAAGTATCCCGAGCGTGCGGAAAACACAAAGACGCTATGGATTCATGATACCAATTTTATGAAAGATTTTGGCCGCACTAAATGGGCAGTTCTTTCGGATGAAGAAAAAGGCTGGGCCAAAGATTATGTTTGGCCCAAGTTTTGGGCTTATCCCTGGCTCCCGAAGGCGTCGGTATATCTCATATCGTAGTTACACTTGTATCCTCATTATATTTTTTCTGTCTCGTGTTTTTTTGTCTCGTGTTTTTTTGTCTCTTTTTTTTGTCTCGTGTTCCATGTCTTCCTTTTCTTGTCTTTAGCAGCCAAATGATAGCAAGCCCCAAGTTGCCCATTTGGCAATCTCAAATTAGTCCAGTCCAAACGTGAGCACATTGATTTTCATTAATCTCCGCCACAACTATAAGCAGTAAAGACAGTGAAAGAAAATATTCAAGAAAATTTTCGTAAAACTAAGACCAAAGTAGAGGAAAAAAGACCAAACTAACGACTAAAGACAAAAGCTAAAACGAGATAAAGGAAAGACGTTTGAAACAGGTAAAGAATTGAATACAAGCAATGATAAACCACGATCAGAGTCAACTATGTACACAACAAATCACAAACATATCAGGCATTTTTCCAAACATCCCACCTCTGTGCGCGTTCTTCATCCCCATCGTCATCCATTGTTGCATCGTCTACATAATAATCCCCTTTGCCACCACCAATTGGCTTTTCAAATTCTTCCGACTCCGCCCAGTCATTACCTTTCGCCTTCGCCTTCGCCTTACCCTTACTCCTCTTAGTAGTTTCTTCCTCTTCCTCTTCCTCCTCGCTTTCTTCTTCGTCCTCATCATCATCTATATCTTCTTTGTCTTCTTCGTCTTCAAAATCTTTGTCTTCTTCATCATCAGTGTCATCCAAATCAATGACAGTGCCTGCGTCAGATCCATCTTCTTCATCATCTGACTCGGAACCATCACTTGAATCGTGACCCAGGTTCAGATGTTCTAAGTCGTAGGCCTTAGTCGCCCTGGCCCAGTGCTTCTCAGTGAACTTTCGGTCGCGAAGCTTCTCATCCGGATGTGATCTACCAAGCAGAGATACTGAAGGATCTGGGAGAAACATTACATTTAAGCAGTCGCCTATCATGTCCCGTTGGGATTGGGAAAGCGTGTTGTTCCACCAGTCGGAGTCGTAAAAGTCAAGCGGTAAGCCTCGGGGGGGTCTGGTAAAAGTAGAGAGGATTGGTGCAGCGGGACGAAGGCGAGGGTGTCTTTGAGTTCGCTTGTTAATGATTATGTCGGAATGTTTCATGTGTTCATCCAGACGTCGCATGAACACGCCAGCAGCCTCAGATCGGTAGATTGGTGTCTTGACAATGTGGATTCCTCGCTGGGCATCGATTTCGTCGTCACTGTGAGCGTCGATTTTGCGCAACATTTTGATGTAGCGCGCAGGGAAGTTGTGCGCCTCGGCGTGTTTCCAAAGGAGTTTACAAAGCTGCCAACATGAGAAGGATGAGTGTAATGTTAATTGAATCAAGGTAAAGGCCACAATTGACTTACACGTTGTCGATTCCTTTGAATCACCTTCCTTGCATCATCTCTTTGATTCTTGCCAGCATCTTTCGTTTCCTTCTTGTACTTATCGGTCATCAGATGATGTACGTAGTGGTTGTAGGTCTTTTCCAGTAGCAGGAGATTGTCGACATAGTAGGGGTTCGCATTCGGGAAAGCTTTTCCGGCAACCCACATCCGAAAGATCCTGATTGCACTGAGCCGACAGGCTTCATTCCACATCGAGTCCGGAGCAGCGTCAAGATCTGGAGCCCATCGACGAATTCCGAGTTTTGCCAACATCGCAAGAGAGTATCGAACGAAGAAATCCTGCACATATACAATCCCCTTACCGATTTTAACACGGCCAGCTCGGGCTTCACGCAAAGAGATGATTTCAGTTTGGGGAATGAGATCCTGACTGTTTGAGGAATCAGCAACGGCTGTAATTTGAGCGGGGTCGGAAAATCTAGCATTGAATTTGGTAAGAAGCGCTGGATCCGGGGCCACAGGAACTGAACCGGCCGCGGCCAAGTCCCATATGATTCGAACAAACGTAAAGAAACATTCCTACGAGCCAATGATTAGGACCAATCCGAAAAAAAGATAGATGGAAATAGATGAAAACACACCTTGGTACGTGTATAATCCTCTGGAAACTCCCCAGAGAGTACCTGATGAGGACTTCGTTTGGGGGATGCAGTGATCGGCGGGCCAGCTTGTTTTTTTGTAGATCTAACAGCTGGTGACGACTTTGGGGTTGACTTCGCAGGAAGCGGCGACTTCTTAGGCGTGGAAGTAGAACTGTGGCGTTTGGATGTCACTCTCGGGCGAGGAGTGGCGGTAGTCTTGTTTGACGGCAAAGGAACAGGCGGGGCTCTTGATGAGCTTGCGGCAGCAGGTTGATCCTTTGCAGCCTTCGATTTTGCTTTGGACTTCGACTTAGGTGGTGATTGTAGTCCCACATATTTGAGCTTTTTGAGCAGAGTGTCGTAGGCTTGGTCGCGGGAAGCAGCCTGAGTTTGCATCTGGGAAATCAGTTGAGTCTGAGCAGCAAGTTGTTGAGTGGTTGCTTGCAACAACGCCTGAAGCTCAGATGGATCCATGAGGTAAATGCAGAGTGAAACAAGCGAATTAAAAGCTACAATTTATAAGGAGGCAAGTCAATTTGTGAGTAAGATAATTTTTTCAGGAAGGGAAGAAGAACAAGTAGGCTGGAGGGACTTACGGCTAGCTTTATAGACCACACCAAAGGAAATCCTTAGGTCATTGACATGGCGTGGGCCCGTTGTCATGAGATTCTAAAAAGGGATTGAAAATTTCAAAGGAACTCAAGCGTAAACATAGCGTCGAACATGAATATGAAAACGAAGAAGTTATTTCATTTTGGCTCACCGATTTTGCAAATCCGTCTCGCCTGGGCATGTTCAGCAATGCCACGATGGGACTGAATGGGGCGGAAAGGGGTATTGACATTGGGTGTAAGTTTCTTGATGTTTACCAAAGGGTCCAAGACAAAACGGAAATGAAAGCAATCAATACGGAAACGGTAGGTGACGCTGAGCCGACGATGATGGAGAGGCGAAAGTAGCTGACGCCAATCTAGTGTGTGTGACGCTACATACTAACAGCTGACCCTTACAGACTCTGCTACATATGATATCTGACGCCTCAGGCCCGGCCCCGGGGCGTCAGGGCGACGCTTCATATGTAGCGTCGCCTGTTTGCCCGGGGTGCGATTAGGAGCTCATTGGAGGGACTGGAGAAAAGTCACATCAGGTCAATATTACAGTTTAAACGCATTATTTCCCAACAAATACAATCTTCCAATCAATCAACGATCAATCAGACCAAACGCCAATTCCATTGAAGTGATGAATGAAAACACCCAAGAACCAATTGAAGCAACAGTCATGAATCTCGACTGGGCATCAGAAGGTTTCGGTTTGATGAACAACAAATCAGATGTTCCAACTGAGTATTTGTTTGATGGAGGAGCGACTGACGCTGTAAGCAACGACAGATTGTCTTTAACTAACTATCAAACACTACCCAGTCCGATTCCTATCAAGACAGCTGCTAATGACTCGCGTGCTGTTATAGTAGGGAAAGGTGACATCGAAATAGAGACGGAGAACGGAGAAACTGCAATCATCAAAGACATATATTATTGTCCAAAAGCAACAACTACAATCATTTCACCTGGAGCGTTGATTGCAAGCGGAGCGAAGATATCAATGAAAGAAGATAACAGCTATCATATCAAATTGAAAAATGGAAAGACTTTATACGCTGTGCATAAGAATAGAAGGTGGTTTATAAAAACTAGAAAGAATCGTCCGAAATTTTGTAATTCCCCTCATCTGTCAAGTCATCTATGTGCAATGAAGTCATCTTATCAACTGTCGAAGTTATGGCATGAACGCCTGGGTCACGTTTCCATGAAGAGAGTTCAGAAACTTTTCAAAGATCATGAAGAATATGGTTTGCCTGAAGTCAAGCATTGCCCTGTGACTTGTGAAGACTGTTTGACGTGTAAGAGCACAAGACGAAGAGTTCTTGGTAGCACCAACCGTGAGCCTAGGGTAATGGAAGTTCTTGTGACAGACGTAGCTGGCCCTTTTTCACCTTGCCTGACCGGTGAGCAACTGATGGTTACATTTCGTGATTTAGCGTCGACCTACTCGGAAATCTGCATCATCAAACATAAATCTGAGGTATATCAGCGACTCATCAACACGATCAAACGCTGGGAACGTGAAACAAACCTCAAGATCAAGACAGTCAGATCAGACAGAGGTGGAGAATACATTGGAGCAAACCTCGACAAATGGCTCAAGGAAGCAGGAATCAAGCACAAATACTCAAACCCCTACGAACCAGAACAAAACGGGACTGCAGAACGCCTAAATCGAACACTAGGAGAGATGGCAAGAACTTTACTGGCAGCAAGTAAATTACCTCAGAAGTTTTGGAATTTTGCGTATATGACAGCAGCACATATTCACAACCGTATCCCAAACAGCTCCACTGGCAACAAAACCCCTTACGAACTTTTTCACGACCGCAAAAGAAGAGCAAGGAAGTGTAAAATGATTGGATACGTAGAAGGAGGAAAAGGATGGTTATTTTATGATGAAGACTCGAAAACAGTATTCCCCTCCGTCATAGCTCAATTTCCTTACGAAGCTGACTTACCACAACCTAATCAAAACGAAGAAAACACATCATCATCGTCACTTAACAACATCTTGAACAGAGAAGGAACGAGCAAAGGTAGCCTGAGTCACATCATCAATGCATTGAAATTAGGAGACTTCACCGAGGAAATAAAATTAGATAAACAAGACGTATCAGCAGCTTACGCATTGAGCAATGAAGAATACTTAAAAATTTTGAAGCCTCCACGTTCATACGCAGAAGAATTAAGGTCCGAAGAATCAACTAACTGGAAAGAAGCATGTGATAATGAAATGAAGATGATGGAGAAGATGAAGGTGTGGAAGGTGGTAGACAGGCCTGAAGGATTAGTACCAATTGACTTAAAATGGGTTTTTGCGTATAAAAAGGTAGATGAAAACGGCAATCCTATCAAATTCAAAGCGCGACTTGTGGCAAAGGGTTTCAAACAGAAGGAAGGAATTGATTATACAGAAACTTTCGCGCCAACAGCAACGTTTGCGGGATTACGAATCATGCTCACTATTGCAGCACATCAAGGATGGCCAACTCACTCTTTTGATATCACCTCTGCGTATCTTCATAGCGCGATTGACTCAATAGTTTACTTCTCAATTCCAACAGGGTACATGTGCGAAGCAAAGAAGAAGAATCAAGTTTTAGAAGCAATAAAAGCGCTGTATGGCACAAAGCAGGGAGCTAGATGCTGGTGGAAACACATTGACAACATCCTCACATCCATAGGTTTTAAGAGCAGTCAATACGATCAGTCCCTATACATCTATCACCGTAATGGAGACACATGCATTATCTGGTTACATAGCGATGATGGAGGAGTCACTGCGAGCTCAGAAGAATTACTGGATGAAATACATCAAGCATTGAAAGCCAAGCTCCTAATTAAGTGGGAAAAGAACCTAGACCAAATTGTAGGCGTCAATGTAAAACGTCACGAAGACGGAAGTTTTACATTATCTCAACCAGGACTCACAAAGAAAATCATTCAATCTTTCCTACCTGATGAACGATCAGCTAAGACGCCCATGAACTGTCAAAAGATCCCGACATCGCCAAACGAAGAGGAAGAGAAAGTAGATGCCGAGAAATACTTATCAGCTATAGGAAGTTTAAACCATTTGTCAGTAGCAACACGGCCGGACATCACTTACACGATCAATTTCCTAGCCCGATTTTCATCTGATCCCAGGAAACAACACTGGGCGGCAATCGAGCACGTCATCCAATACCTAAACACAACGGGAGTTCGTGAACTCATGATCAAGCCCATCAAGACTAAGGTCAACACGCCTATTCATACTTACGTAGACGCCAACTGGGGAGGGGAGGGAGCGAGATCTTCTCATGGTTACATCACGTATTTTCTTAACTGCCTGATCTCTTGGACATCAAAAAGACAAACCTGTGTAGCATCATCTACCTGCCATGCTGAGTACATGGCGCTTGGAACAGCATGTCGAGATGCAGTTTGGTTGCGAAATCTAATTGAGGACATCACCGGCGAAGGGAACATCGTCAACATGCATTGTGACAATACCTCAGCAATACACGTTGCGAGCGACAACTCTTCCAACAAACGCACGAGACACACTGATCGCAAATTCTACTACATCAATGAACAAGTCTACAAAGGACGAGTTTTCCTTCACTGGATCGATACCAAATCCCAAAGAGCAGACATTCTTACAAAACCTCTAGGTCCGAACCTACACGATCAGGGTATCAAGAACTTACACATCACATTAGACGCAATAAAACCCGACGCCAAAGCATCTAAAACCTCAAATAACATGCAACCAAGCCCAAATGAAGACAACGTATCTGGTGGAAATAATTCCGTGGCTATACGATCTGATTCCAGTTAATCTGGGAGAAAGGATTGTTGATCCCGGGGGAACAGATTCCAGACTACGGTGCTCTATCATTTATCAAATCAATCATCAATTCATCAAAGCCACATCAAAAATAGTCTACGGTTATGTTTCCTTTTTCATTTCTTATTTTCGAGTTTTGTTTTTTTGTATTTTGTGTGTCACTTTGTTTTTTAATTCTTACGCTCATTATTCTCAACACATCATCAAATCATGTACTGGCTACAATTTTTTTACTTTGTTTTTTGTTTTCTTTCTTCTTCTATGGTCTGTAGGGATGTCAGTGCCTTGTCGTGGGGGGGTGTAAGAGTCACATGATCCTGGGCACAACTGCGGCACAGACATCACGTGCTCAGTCAACAAAACCCATCAACTCGCTCTGAGATTCCACATCATCATTGTGGAATCCAAAGCCTATTTTCATACTTATGCGTTTTTCTATCTTTCTATTGTTCACTACAGGTACTTTATCATCATTGTGGAATCCAAAGCCTATTTTCATACTTATGCGTTTTTCTATCTTTCTATTGTTCACTACAGTCTAACCCGCGCTAATGCATAATTTGGGGAGACTCACTTTCCTATGCAATTAGACGGGTTATGCTTTTTGACCTACACCCCCAAAATGCATAAAAATATGCATTTAGATTTTGGGGTGTATTGCATAGAATTATGCATTAGTACGGTTATTGTATTACCCCACCCATATGGGACAAGAGAGGGTGAAGGTGGGAAAACTTCAGTAAGAAAGCGTTTAATTTTGAGGACATTTGTTGTCTATTTAGTACGATATGTACAGAAAGAAACAAAAACAATTGTTTTCAAGAACATGCTTTATCAAGTACAATGTGTTACAAAAAACAGTCAACAAACAATAACTTTTGAGGACTTGTGCTTATTTGGTACGACATGTACAAAAAGAAAGAAATTGAAGTATTTTTGAAGGCTATTGATGATCAAGTGTTAGATATAGTCACACGTTGGAAGAAATCAGTTATTGCCACTTGTTTTTTGTTACCAAAAAACAGCTCGGACTCAAGCATCTCGGCATACTTCTGCAAAGAGTTGTCCAATTTGAGACCAGAAGCTGTACCAGTGCCCTCTATGTGAGCTAATTCCTTGTTTTCAGTAGCAGACATGATGAAAAAAGATGCAAATTGATCTAAGGGAGCCGAAGATCGTGTGAGGTGGGTGATATCACTTTGCTGATCATTCCAAAGCACAACTGCTGTTGCTTTTTGTCAGTATCACCACCACATCACTGGGTTTGACCTATGCAATACCGCTTCCAAGATATAATTTTTTTTGCTTTGACCCTATGCATCATGCAATATGCAATTAAAATCTTGTTTTGGCCCGCACCAGCGTGGTGGAGACCAAAACCTATGCATTTTGGCTGGATATGCATATGCGCGGGTATACAACAGCGCGGGTTAGACTGTACATGAATTTCATCTTTGGCGGGGAAAGTGTTTACAGGTCTGGACGTGGGAAAGTTAATTTAAGATTGATAATCCCAAAGCGCCGGACTGTGCTCGCAGCTCCGCCCTCACTCTAATCTTAAGAGCGGCCGTCTGCTTCCACAGCCCTTTAAACGAAAATCACTGAGTCTTTTTGGTGGTGCACAGTCGGTCGACCACGTCACACACAGGTTACCAAAGTGGGTGTACATTTGAATTGCTTGAATTGCTTTATGGTGATATTTGATTTGGTCAGAATGAATGTGTGTATGTGGTACATACCAACAAATAGGAGTGATGTGAACTGTGTTGAGGTGAAGATTTGGTGATACATACATAGTGCAATACTTTGATTTTTGATTTTGATGGTGGTTCGATCGATCAAAGCTCAGTTTATATTCTAGAATCTACATATTTACCGAATACCGAATCAGAGTCCAGACTTCCAAGAAAACTTGAATCAGTTAATTGAAACTTGATTGTTTCTTTTTGAAGAGAAAGAAAAAGTTTATCAAGGTTGTTCGATAGAGAAACTTCTTAAATACAAGCACTTTCAAAGAAAAAAGAACATTACACTTCAAACTCATTCGAATCAAATCATCATCTGGTTTCTTTCTTTTCTCTTTACCTTCTCTTTACCACATTTAAATCGACTTATATCTTCTTTAACGAATCTCAAATGTCAGTCATTGGTAAAGATTATGCCACAACGGCTGATCCATCAGAATATCCAAATCTTCAAACTCCAAAACCAAATGGATACATCATTCCTTCAGATTCTCCGACTCGTCCTAATACTAACGATTCAAATTTAGTTCCTGTAAGTTGATAATTCTTCTTGACCAATCATCTTAATCTGATATATGCTTTGTTTTAGGAACATTCATTCGATCCAGATGCTACACCGGAAGAAAAGAAACAACAAGCCATGTTAGGTGCTGATAAGTTGGCTAAATTAGATATGAGTAATCTTCATTTAAAACCAACTGCTACGACTGGTAAGTTCACTTTTTTAGATTCTTGAAGCCCATTTCGCAGGTTCTGATAAGCTGATCAAATTGTATTATCAATCCATAGCTCTCAAAACTGATCTCAATGGAATCAAAGTCGAAGTAAGCGGTTCGATCATGATCTATCAAATTGAAATCGAGGTTTTGATTAATACGTTCTACGGTTCTTTAGCCTTCAGTCAATATGGAAGATATCAAAGCCACATCAGAAGCCAATGCGAATTCCGAACAAAATGATTTAAATTCAACAAACAAAACCGATACTGAACTTGGTGATCTACCGGGTCAGATCTCAGCGGTCACTCCAATGACAGGTGTGATTCCAGATTGGTATAAAGTTGGATGGGCTGCTCAAATGGAATCAAATAGGGATCGTGAACCTTCAGAAGTCAAACATACTGAAATCTTAGAAACTTTTTTAGGTGAAATGTATTATGGTACTTGGTCTGTCATCATTCTTATCTTACTCATCATTCTTATCTTACTTGTCATATGACTTGTTTAATCTAACCTTTTTGTTTTGTTTTCATAGGTATCATAACGCTGCTATCATCTTCTTTGCTGTGGCGGCATCTCATTACATAACTCTCTTTGGTGGCGGATGGTCATCATTAATGTGCGTTGATCATGCGATAATCCTCAATGGTTTAAATACTGAAATTTGATATGTTATTGTAGTATTATTTTGAGTATTTGTGCAACCTATTATCAAACAAGTATTCGTAGGGTTCGAAGAGACGCAAGAGGAGATGTAGCTCGTGAATTAGCTAAACAAAGACTTTTTCAAGATCATGAAACAGTAGACTGGCTTAACAATTTCTTTCATCGGTTTTGGTTGATTTATGAGCCGGTAATGCCTTTTGCAAAATCATCTCTCTTTTCTTTTTTTTCTGAGATTTGGGTTTTTCTTATTCTCTTGGATTGGATGATACATAGGTTCTTTCCGCTACTATTGTGGCTTCTGTTGATCAAATCTTGGTAGCCTCGACTCCTACTTTTTTGGAATCGATTCGAATGTCGACTTTTACTTTAGGTTCAAAGGCACCTCGAATTGATTTTATTAGATCTCATCCTGAAACTGAAGATGATGTAGTGGTCATGGTATGATCTCAATCTTTTCTCGTCTTATAAATTCACTATTGAGACTTATTAACTGAAATCTGCATCATTCAGGATTGGAAATTCGATTTTACTCCGAATGATATCTTGGAAATGACTGCCAAGGCTGCAGCGGCCAAGATTAATCCAAAGATTGTTCTGACGATTAGATTTGGGAAAGGTTTAATTGGTGCAGCCAAGGATATTGTAGTGGAAAATATCTCCTTTTGCGGTATCATGAGGATCCGAATCAGTGAATATCTTGCCACTTATATTGCTCTCTTGATTCATTCACTATGACAGACGCTGATCATAACTTATTTTTGTATCTTTTTATCAGAACTTATGAATAATTTTCCACACCTGCAATTGGTGGATTTATCTTTCATGGAAAAACCAGAGTTTGACTTTGTACTCAAACCTGTGGGTTTTGATCTTAACATGATTCCTGGTCTCTCAGGTTTCATTGAATCTCAAGTACATGCAACCCTTGGCCCCATGATGTAAGCCTCATTTCCTCTTCAATTCTTGTCCGAATCCTCATCATGTGTTTCTTTTTTTCAAAGGTACGACCCAAATGTTTTCACACTCAATCTAGAGCAGATGTTGGCTGGTACACCGATTGATTCAGCTATCGGAGTCCTTCAACTCACTGTACATCATGCTCGTGGATTGAAGGCGGTCAAGATTGGTGGCGGGACCCCTGATCCATATGTGACAATTTCGATCGGCGCCCGTGGTCATCTAGATCGTACCAAGGTGAGTACGCATGGTTGATCACGATCTAGAGCACTATCATTGACATTCAAAGCATATATAGGTTAAGCACAGCACTCAGAACCCACACTGGAATAGTATACACTTTTTACTTCTCAACTCTCTCAACGATCTTCTCACGCTAGAAATCATGGATTATAACGAAGTCAGGAAAGACACATCGCTAGGAACGGCCAATATAGATCTTCAAACCTTGGTAGCTGACCCTGAACAAGATAGTCTGACTATCCCAGTCATGTATCAATCGAAAGCCAGAGGTGAAATCCGAGTCGATCTCACCTATCATCCTTGTTTGATTCCGAAAGCTCTTGAAAGCGGTGAAGAAGAACCGATGCCTGAAACTACAACTGGGGTGGTACGTCTAACACTACATCAAGCAAAAGACCTTGATTACAAACGATCGGGTACCAGTCAATTATCACCTTATGCTAAGATTTACTTGAATGGGATTCAAGTTAAGAAAACATCTGTGATCAAAAGAACAAATAACCCTGTATACGAAGTATACACCGAAGTATTAGTTAAGAAGAGATCAGCGGCTGTCTTTACTGTTAAGATGTATGATGAACGTGTTGGAGAAGATGCATCGATTGGATATGTCAATGCGAAACTTGATGATTTATTAGAAGCTACTTCTGGTGATCATAAGAATGATTGGTTTCCTCTTAATACTAGTAAAACTGGAAAAGTCAGACTTAGTGCGACATGGAAAGGTGTATTGATGGCAGGAGCAATCAATGGGGCTGGAGCATATACACCTCCAATCGGTGTTTTGAAATTTTGGTTTAAGAAAGCAGAGGATTTGAAGGTCTGTTTTTTGTTATCGTACAACGCATCAAGTAAATTTCACTGGTCTGACTTCATCAGGATGGGTTTTGATTCACAGAACGTCGAAGCTTTGACGGGTGGAAAGAGTGATCCGTATATTCGAGTGATGAGATCAGGGATTGTTTTGTCGAGAACCCAGATCCATGTGAGTATTCTCTTCAGCGAGATACTCGTCGGTTTTACTTACCTACCATGTTATCTCTAGAACAGCAATCTTGATCCAGATTTCGATGAGATTGTTTATGTCCCAGTCCATAGGTGAGTTTACATCATATACTGAGTCCTCTCATTTTATACTTACTCTCTATTACCTGATCTTTTGCATAGTATGAAAGACCATTACCGACTTGAGGTGATGGATTATCAACAAATGACCAAAGACCGTTCTTTGGGAATGTATGATTTATCGGTTCAAAGTTTTGCGGTTCCTTGTCAACCCAAAGGCGCAACCACCCATCAATCAACCGGTAAACAAGTTTTCTCAGAATACCTCAAGACTGATGGTAAGAAGGCAGTTGTGAAGGGGCGATTACACTTTGAGGTGGAATTTCACCCTTGTACATATATGCGATTTTCACCGTTTGATCGACCAGCATCAGACCTCGATAAACTCAAAGCAGATGACGCTTCAGATTTAGCTTCTACAGTCGATGCCGAATTTGAAGACAATGGATCGGTTGTGAATGAACCTGAAGGTGTTGAAGTCTTGGCCACACCTATCTCTACTGCTAAACCTAGATCACGAACCGTCTCTAAAGCTCAAAGTGCACATTCAAAGCAATCAAGTATCGGTGAATTGAAAAGTGCAATTGAACTTCCATCTGGAGTTTCGGCTATTTCAGGTCTTTCGACTTTAGATCCTAAACCTATTGAATTAAGTAAAACTGAATTACTTCAAGCTCAATCTGGTATACTTGTGTTTAATATCATGGGAGGTACGATTGCAAGGAAGAATGCTAGGTTGGAATTCTTATTTGTCAGTTTGATTTTTTTTTTGCTCAAAGTTTTTAAAACGTATTTGGTTTTGATTGGGCTTCGGTTTTTCTTCCTTGTTTTCAGGATGATGGTTATTGGCCTGCATGTAAGTTTCTCAACTATATCTGATGTATCAATCAAATATAATCGTTCACTTTATTGATCGTTGGTCTTTGTTTTAGACTCTACTGAACCCTCAAAATCTGTGAATGCTAAATGGGATGAAACTGGAGAATGCTTTATCAGAGAATTAGATTGGTCTAGATGTACTTTGAAATTGAATTCGGCTGATAAAGATACAAGAGAAGAAGTTTATGCTCAATATTCTTGTAGTCTTAAAGATTTCTTAGATTGTTGTTTAGTAAGTTTTTGGCTTTTTCAAATTGAAATTAAGTTAAGGTACTGATGGGTTTTGGATTAATTATAGGAAGCGCCTCATGAGTTTGTACTTGAAGATTTAGAAGGTGGTCATAAGAGTACTGTTTCGATTCAGTGTAGATACGTACCAGTGCCGATCACTTTGGAGCCTCGGGAGAGCATCAACAGTGAGCAATTAAAGAGTTTTTCATTATGCTTATTGGCTAGTCGTTGACGTTGTCATCGAATGATGTCAAATAGATATGGGCATCTTGACTGTGATGCTGGAGAATGCAAAGAATTTGTTGGCGGCCGATAGGAATGGATACTCTGATCCTTATGCTCAGTTTGTTTTGAATGGTATGAAGGTCTTTAAGAGTGATGTACAGAAAAAGACATTGAATCCACAATGGATGGAAAAATTCGATGTAGAAGTCGTCAGTAATTTCTTTCTTCGATCCTGTATGTTTTTGACCTTCAATCTGATTACTTTTATCTCAGCCTTCGCGAGTTCATGCAGACTTTATTGTACAAGTGTTTGATTGGGATCGTGTTGGGGCAAGTGATAAACTTGGACAAGCAGCAATTGATTTGAAAGAACTTGAACCAATGCAACAATCTACTATGGCGCTAAAGCTCTCACATGAAGGAACTGAACACGGTGTTGTGCATCTCAAACTTACCTTTCGACCTGGTTTCATCACTCGTAGTCGACAAGCTACATCCACTTTTACAGGTCTAGGCAGGGTGGCCACAGGTCTTGGTGGAACGGTACTTTCTACTGGTGCTGGTGTTGGTTTAGGTGCAGTGAAAGGAGTGGGACACGTTGGGGGTGGTGTAATCAAAGGAGTGGGAGGAGTTGGTAGATTAGGCTTTACAGGGATCCGAAAAGTCACAGGAACTCATAAAAGGAGTAGTACGACTGATAGTGATAAATTAGGAGCAGAGAATACATCAGGACTGGGAACACCACCTAGCAATTCGCTTGGAATCTTATCTGACAAGGTGATAGGTAGTCCAAGACTTTCTCAAGATATGCCACAATCTACCCCATCTAAATCAACTTCAGATCTGAAATTAACAATAACGAATTTAGGAGCTAGTGGATTAGAAAATCCAGATGCAAAACCATATTTACATGTCAAAAGAAATGGAAAATCGGTATTTGATACAAAACCAATTCGACATACAACTACACCTACATGGGAAGAAAGCTTTACATTAGATTTAATCATTGGACAGAATTGTAAACTAGATTTTATAATTTATGATAAAAAGAAATTGGGTAAAGATAAAGAATTAGGTAGTTTATCAGTTGATGTTTGGAATTATGTATTACCTAATCAAGGGAAATTAGATGCAGATGTTTTAGAAACTTTAAGTAATGGGACTGGCAACTTGAATTTTAAAATGATGGCTTCATTAAGAACTCCTAATAATCAACAATTAATCGGTAGTCCTGATGGGAATGGTGGAAATAAAGCCAGAGTTGGAAGTTTTTTAGACAGAGATCCTAATAGTGGTACTGGAGGTCTTCATCATGGTCATCTTGCTCATTTGAATGGAGGAACTTCATCAACGACCACTACACCTGGTGGTCCGCCTTCTCCTGGTTCTAAATCTAATAGATCGATTTCGAGATTCTCTTTACAGCGTCATCGTTAATGTTAATTTTAATTTGAGATGTGTTTATTCTGCTTCGTGGGATTTCAATCTTTTCTCTTTGAAGTTTCGTTATTAATTCTTTTACTTTTTGTGAAACATTTAAAAAAATTATGTGATTTTTGTTTTTGTTTTTTACGATTTTTTTTTTGGCAGAAATACAAGGTCCGACTCCACCGTCTATACAGCAAATCTTTAGACCTTTGGTTTTTTCTTCATTCTTTTTTTGCTACGTGGACATGATCATGCTCTGTGTGTTTTATTTGTTTTTCATTTTTGGATTGATTGATTGAATTTGTTGTGTAGTTTTTTTTTAATTTTTCATTTTAATTTAGTTTTTTATACTTAAACAATCAATACATGTTGAAATTTAAGATTGAAGGGTTTATGAGAAAGACATCTTTAAAGTCGGGTTTTGCTTCGGTTTCTTTGGTACATTTTCAAAACAGAGAAATGAGATCAAGATATGTGACAAAAGTATAGAGAAAATCAGGATATCATGTATAATTGTTTTATTTGTAGTGGGAGATTTGTTTCTCAACGATACAAGTTTTGATGTGATTCATAAAAAAATCCAAAAGTTTATGTATAAGGTTTACAAAATTGGGAGGTTATGCATTTGTCTTTTAATGGTATGTCAATTCTATCTATTTTCGTCTTCAAGGAGCTTGTAAGTACTTACATGATCATCTTTGACCAGTTGAAAATGATGGAAATTCATGGTCATGTAGCAGGATTGATGACTGATGCTCGCTTGGAAGAGAAATTGATTTCATCAGTGGCACTAAAGGAAAGGGTGGATTCATCATTGCGGGCATGAACTCACTACGTACGCAAGCTCTGTTCTCAAGTTTCGTACCAGCTGGGCGTCGTCGTCGACCGGTCAATTGAGGTTTGGTTAATTGCTCACTCAGGAACGTTTGGGTGTGGTGATTTGCTGCTATCGAGCCTTGAGGAGGACTCATTCTCGAGTATGATGAGCCAAGCGTAACGCTGTTCACCAGAAGTGGTCTTCGTATTCAACCGGTTTTCTCGAGAATCCCTCTGAGGATTGTCCGAGGTTGAAAAACTAATAGCCCGTATCACAACCCAGGTTCCGATAACAGACCTGAACGTGACTTTGATGGACGATAGAGTACTGTGAATGAAATCCCTATACTCCGGCGCAAACCTTTCTTTCTTCAAGTAGTCATTGAAGAAAGACTTTGGATGTGCGGACGTCAGGGCTTGGTCATCTTCATAACCCGTCTGACTCTAGCAGACTTCTTACAGCGTTTGACAGGGCAATGTAGCGTCACTCGGACCTGATGTCGGCATGAAATCTCCATCTTGACTGACGGCACAACATTCATGGCGCACGAGGTTGAATGCAAAATGAAGCTTATGCGCAACTGTGAGCGTATAAAAGGATGTCTGATTCTTTGATTCGCTTTCCATCCTCCTCACACACTTCTTGTTCTTTCTCCCATTTCCCGTCCTGCCATCTTATCCTTCCACATCACTTTCCACATCATCTTATCAATTTGATTAAAACCCCTTATCGTCCATCGATTGAAGCTTCACCGCCTATATCATCCTTCAGCCAATTCTCTATTGCAGAGATCTTTCCATCATCCGCGCTCTCATCATATCACCCTAAAACAATCTTCACATTTACTTTCGGAAAATGTCTTTCACAAACCTTGGCTTGAATCTCGCTGCATTGTCTTCCGTGGACACTTGGTTTCATCTCAAGCGAGTCATTCTTCAAAGTGCGCGCAATACCAAGAGCAGCGAAGATGTCTTGATCCGACAAAGTGTAAGCCGCTCATTTCTTTCGCTTGAGACGCAAGCCAAATTACTCATCTGTTTGTTATTGTGCTATCAGGATAACATCCCGTCGTATCCGTTCAAGCTCTTCCCAAGCGATAAGCTTCTTACTTGGACTCCACAAACCGTTGTTGAGGTATGTTTACTTTCTGTCTGCGACAGTTTTATCCTCATCAGTTGACATCGATCCTTATGATTCATTTGACTTTCAGATCACGTTCTCTGATGATCAACTTTCATCGGGCACTGTCAACTCCGAAGAAAATTATGATACTGCATTCAATTCTTTAAACCGTGAACATGGCACGATTGCAATCGAACTTCTCACATCGCCGGCTAGCTCGGTATCATTGGAGAGTTTATCCTGCTACTCCTCCGATTCACAAGAAGAAATCAACAATGAATCTGAAAGCTCCTTTGATTCTCTGTTCGAAGACGATTCCATCGAAAATTCTTCCATCTATCAAAATGTCAACTCAGTACGCACGCCTAATCCTACGGATACTGTACTAGCTGAGGAAAAGGCACTACTTGAGCCAATCTCACTCGAGAATCAGTCGTGGAATGAACGCATCAACTACCTTGCTACTGATGAAGAATGGGACGACCATATCGACAAATTAGCAAAGGAGTTTGAAAAGGAGATGGGATTTGACTCTGAGACTGAGACTGAATGTCTTTCATTCGACAATAACATGACCAGGATATCAGCTGCGTTTGATTGCGACAAAGAAGAAGTTGAAGATGGAGAGTTTGAGGACATATTTCTATCACCAGAATGTTCTGAAGGAGAGGAAGTCAATCGGTCTTTTGATTCTTTATTTGACGGTGAAGATAGCATGATGGATGAATTTGAAGACTCTGTTGAAAGTCAAGAAACAAGCCAAGAATTTAATAATATTTTCAAAATAAGTGAAGAAGAAAAACAAGAATATCAATTATTATCTTTACAAAGACACGCAAGAGCGATTCGAAGAAACCCACACCTTTTTCATCTTTTCCGTTAGAAGATTTGGATAGATGTTTGAGTTCTGATATTAGTGCACCTACAAAACAATATTTCATTCTAAAATTTATCACCAGCAATATAAATTCAATCATCATATAATCATCTTCAACAAAAGAATGATCAAAATTGAAATTTCTTGCATATTCAAGAGTCTGATCAAAACACATTGTATATATTTCAAATCTTTGTATCTTTCATCTTTATATTCAGTATTTGTATTTCTTTCTCCTTTTTTTTGTAATTTTCTTTAATTTATCTGAAATTGAATATCACCATCATATCAAAAAAAGTTTGTTCAAACACATGACCCAAAAGGCACTTGACAAAAAATTCTGTTTCACTCCACTTACACCTTGGCCAACCAAAAATGATTCCAAACAAGGCCATACACATAATGACTTGTGATATTTCACAGCAGTAGGTTATATTCAGTCTGCCTGAATACTTGCCCCAAGTTGGATATTGGCACCACCCAAAAATAAAGAAAAATGGGCCTCTCATGATGCTCAAGGTTTGATTCCAATTTGGGGAGGATTTGGAAGATCATTTTTTTGTGAATCATGTTTCTTTTTTTGATTGTTGGAGCAGCTGGGTAACAGCACAGACCAATAGAAAGGGATGCATTTACAATGTCTTTTGCCTCTGACCAGGTTGGTTTTTTCAAAGGGAATGTCCTGTATGCACATTTTGTACCATGTCATAAGATGCAGAAACTCGGAGAAAGCTATGATGAGGTTCAGAACTTGCATTTAAAAAAAGAATCTTGAAAAGTTTGCAAGGTTTAGGAATCTGTGGGTCACTTTTCCACTTTTCCATTTGATAGGAGGTAACTGTTATATCTACAAATTGAAATCAAATCTTAAACCTCATTGGGGGCCCATTGTTTTCTGAAATTTGGGTGGTGCCAATGGGAATAACCAACTGGTAAATGGTGGGCTCAACCAGAATAGGATTTTCTCCAATGGGTCTTTGGTCATGGCATGTGTTTGAACAAACTTTTTTTTGAAATGGTGTTGATATTCAATTTCAGGTGTAAGATAAATAGAGAAAATTACAAAAAAGGAAAAAGAGATACAAATTTAGAATATAAAGAGAAAGATACAAATATTTGGAATATGCAATGTGTTTTGATTAAAATTTTGAGTGTACAAGAATTTCAGTTTCTGGAACTATCTCCTCTTGTGTAGATGGGTTCAAATTTTCTAACGGAAAAGATGAAAAAGGTGAGGGTTTTTTCGAATTGCTCTTGCGTGTCTATGTAAAGATAATAACTGATACTCATGTTTCTCTTGTTCAGTTTGTTTGAAATCGTTATTAGATTCCTTGATCGTTTGTTGACTATTATCGGAATTCTCAATTTCAATAATCATACTATCTTCACCGTCAAAGAGAGAATCAAAAGATTGCTCGAATTCCTCTTCGTCAAAAGATCTTGGTGATAAAAATATATCCTCGAGATCACCGTTATCAACTTCTTCCTCTTTGCAATCAAACGCAGCTGATATCCTGGTGATGGTACTGTCGAATGATAGGAATTCGGTTTCAGAGTCAAATCCCATTTCCTTTTCAAACTCCTTTGCTAATTCATCGATATGTTCGTCCCATTCTTCATCAGTAGCAAGATGATTAATCTGTTCATTCCATGAGCGATTTTTTAACGAGATTGGTTCAAGAAGCAGTGTTTCTTCAGATGCTGGAATATCCGTGTGATTAGGTTCGGAGATTGAGAATGATGAGGTTGCGACGGGTTTCAAGATGATAGAGTGGTCTATGCAATCCTCTTCAAAGAGAGAACTAAAAGAGCTTTCGCATTCATGATAGTTGGCTTCGTCTTCTTCTGATTCACAGGAGTAGCAGGATAAACTGTTCAAAGATGCCGAGCTAGACGGCGATTTGAGACCCTCAATTTCGATGATACTGTTGTGGCAGTCGAGTAAGCAGTCAAATAATGTATCACAGTATTCTTCCACGTGATTAGTGTCCATCAAAATTTGATCATCGGATGATGCATTCTAAAAAGCGAATAAATCATCAGAATCTCTTCCAACTGCGAATAGAAACAATCTCAGTAAATAAACCTACATCGATGACTGTTTCCGGAGCCCAAGTGAGAAGCTTGTTGCTCGGGAAGAGCTTGAAGGGGTACGATTCCATGACGTTCTGATGTCACAATGATAATAGGTCAGAGATATGGCTTCGGTATCAAGGTAAAGGAGTGAACTGCTTACATTTTGTTGGATCGTGGAATGCTCATTGCTTTTGGCAGTACACGCGCTTTGAAGCACGGCCTGCTTAAGATGAAACCAAACATCGACGGAAGACGATGCAGCAAGATTCAAGCCAAGGTTTATGAAAGACATATTCCAAGAAAGGGTTGAGATTTTTGAAACGGTGTGATGGAGAGGGCGGATGAGTGATGAAAGGTGATTTGTATAGGCGGCGAGGCTTCAATCAATGGAGAACACGGTTGCAGACGGTTGCTGATGGAATTGATGGGTTGATGGAGAAAGTGATGTGGATAGATAAGATGATAGAGTGACGAGTGCGAGAAACAACAAGAAGTGTGTGAGGAGGATCGCAAGGGAATTAGAGAAAGAGATATCCTTTTATACGCTGATAGTTCCGTAAAAGTTTCATTTTACGTTCAAGCTTGTGCGCCATGAAAATTGTTGCCGTCAGTCAAGATGAAGATTGCATTCCGAATCAGACGTCAGACCAGAGCTATGCTTCATTGCCCTGGCAAGCGCTGGACAAAGTCTGCTAGAGTCAGACGGGTTATGAAGACGACTGTAAGACTCGCAGAGTGAGTCTTCACTGGATCAAGGCTCAGGAGCAATAGGTCCAAAAACTAAACTAGTACTTAGTAGAACCCAAGTGTATATTTCCAAACACAAATCTAAAGCTGGCTCCAGCCGAAGTCATTCAGTCATCAGCTCCTACATTCTATAGTGACAGCTAGAAAGAGAAGAACCAAAGAGAAAGAAACAGAGAATTGATAGGCTCACCTAGCTCCAGCCGAAGTCACTCGGTGAAGAAAGGGTGGAGCAAGTGAGAGCGAGTGGGATAACTAGTGATTGTGTATAGCCATGATGACTGCACAACCCATGTGATACCTTACAATGACCGCGTTGCCGTCCGCTCATCAAAAGTCGTTCATCGCTGACCACTTGAAGAAGTAACGATCTGCGGGTTCTTGTTCACAATTAGTCTATCGTCCATTAAGGTCGCGTTCAGGTCTGTTATCAGAACCTGGCTTATGATATGGGCTATTGTTTTTTCACCCTCGGACAATCCTTGGGGATCCTTGAGAAAACTGGTGAATTTGAAACACTTAGACTGAAGACCACTTCTGTGTCTGCATCGTGCCAGTTTGCGTTCCTGAGCGCAAAATTTAATCACGCGTGTTTTACCTAAGTTGGTAAACGCATGAAATCCACTACGGATTGATGTAACAAGTGATTTACCAACAATAACGCATTCTTAAGACACTCTACACTCTATGGCAAAATCATGAACTGACTTATACTATCTTACTGCACCTCACCCAGCTCACCTCTATGCTGATGACCACCTTGGTGACTAGAAAGAACCAAAGTGAAGTCTTCAGTTGTTGACAAGAAACTAGCCAACAAGCTTTCTCACCTCTTGTTTGATCTCGGTGAAATCGATCCCGCGAGATCACTTTTTTTTTCAAAAAAAAATACCTTTTCAGCAAGTTCAGAGTAAACAGCTAATCTTAACAAGCTGGGATCTTGAGGGGACAGGGAGGATTGAAGGTGTGCAAAGCTGGAGGGATGCAGATGGAACATTGGATGGCAGTGACCGATTGCATCGCTGACCACTTGAAGAAGTAACGGTCTGCGGGTTCTGGTTCACAATTAGTCTATCGTCCATTAAGGTCGCGTTCAGGTCTGTTATCAGAACCTGGCTTATGATATGGGCTATTGTTTTTTCACCCTCGGACAATCCTTGGGGATCCTTGAGAAAACTGGTGAATTTGAAACACTTAGACTGAAGACCACTTCTGTGTCTGCATCGTGCCAGTGGCCTTGACCGTCACGTGAATGGCTCTCGACGTCTTTCGAGCTCTACCGGTTCCTCTATACTCTCCGGGCTGTCAGAGAATTCTTTTTTGAATATGTGCAAGGGACAGGCGCATCATCACACCAAAGCCTCCCTGAGCTACGAAATAACTAAATCTATTGACCGGCCACCGACAACACCCACCTGGTACAGGAATTGGGCATATAATGTGTGCATAGATGTAAACTTAGCATCAAATATACATACGCAGGCCTGGTTGGCTCCACGCGGCTCAGTCCTTTCATGCTGTTTTTCATCATAACTCTCCCGCCGGGGTGTGTCAACATGAATCCCAACCTTTCAATACCACACGGATTGACAATCCATAAGTTAGGAGTAGTGGGTTTACCCCATCATTTCCACCTGTTCATGTAAGCATACAAACTCCTTGATAGATCAAAGTAGGTAATAAAAAGTTTGATCAACGAGAAAGCCGCGCTGATTGGCTTCAGTCATGCGGGCAAAGTGTACAAGATTTCTGAAATGGACTGGACAATCAATGACGATCGAATCAGAGTTAGAAGATATCGTCAAGCGTTTGTAACCGCCCTCCTGATAACCAGTCTTTTCGTTCTTGCTCTTTGAGTTCATCTGCACAATTCATCATTGGGCTTTATGGTCGCAATTGCAGGAGGCCTTTCATTACCATGATTTTGAGTGGTCAAATCAGTCAAACAAAAAGATAGTAGTGCTTCTCAAAGCAAATCTTGTCAAGTGAAGCAGTCTTAGTATTAGCCTTGATCTGAGTACCTCAGGCTCTATGATCTGAAAATATTGAGTGTGTGCAAACAATGAAAGAACATTAGCTTTTGAAATCAAAAGAAAAATAATCATCAGAATTTGGTTTACTATGGGGATCAATTGTGCAGTACTCAAACTAGTCAAACCAGGAGGTATCTGGAAGGCAGCTTGAGGTAAGTTTTGTCAAATGAAGTGCTCTGGGTATTAGACTCAAGGTATTGGATTGAAGTTAAATGATGATCTCAACCCTATTCAAAGATCAAAAGAAAGAAACATAACTTTGAAAATTGGAAAAAAATAAAGGAAAACAAAACAAAGTGTCAAAAGTTAAAGGATTTTTGGTATCATCAAGAGATTCTGAATGATTTGTAAAATGCTCAAATGTTGCAGAAGTAAATCAAATTCAAGTATGCAAGATGATTCGATAACAATCAAAAGAAGCACTTACAATATAGAGTCCTTGGACTTGAAGTCAATCGGTTCACTGGGGTCACCGTCAATGAAGTCATTTGAGTCAATATAGAGGCCAGAAAGGGTCTTGAATCATGTCTGTCCTAAATGGTATGACCACTGTTGAGCCAGGGTCGTACAGGTATATCACCTTGTCTGATATGATTGGGCACTGGTGGGTTCACAACTCATTAACTGACACAGATCTTCAGGCCCCAAGGGATGGATTCACAACTGGTTTCCTACCTTTCTGATGATGATGTTTGAGGAATAAACAGAACAAAAATCAGAAATAGAGAAGAGTTTTTGATTGATTTTGGTGTCAAAGAAAAATCAAGAGATTCAGAAGGGAACAAAGGGGGAAAACAGAGAAAAACTCAAGATGGGTTTGTTGGTGATTTTTTTTGGAGCATTGCATTTGGGAGGATCAAAGAATGATTTGATTCTTGTTTCAAAGAGTGAATACACACTGAGTTCAGAGTCAAGAGAGTTTTTATTTCATGGGAAAAGGGTAAACAACCCTCATAACTATGGGTTCAATAATGATGTGTGCTGGCGTGTGAGGGCAGTGATATGGTGATGGAGTTGGTGGTTTTGCTGTGTATACCAGCCTGATATACATAAGCCATAAACAGGCTTCATGTATGTATAATGTGGCTTGCTGGTAACTGAATTAATTCAACTTTTCTTTCTTTGAAAAAAAGGAAGCTACCAAGGAATTGTTATAGATTTAATTTGGTTTGCTGTTTTCTCGTTTGTTCTTCATTTGTTTTACATTCAAAAAAACTAAAAAAAAAACTTGTTGAATTTTTCTCATCTCATTTCTTCAAACCCAAAATCCTTTTATTCTGATTTTTTCTTGAAGAAATCTCAAAACTTCATAAATACAATTTGATGATTTTTTTCATGTTCATTTTCATTTTCATTTTCCAGATTTTTTTTTTCATTTGTTCTACTTTTCTATTTTGTATATTTATATATATATCAAGATGATAAAGAAATCGAATTTAACTTTTCCATAAACAAATCCACAAGCTGATCCAAACTTAATGAACTTTGATTTAACCCCCATGAAATCAATACCATTAAGATCGTCATCAATAACAAAATCGAAGCTGAAGATCTCCAAGCTATTCAAATCCCATTTCAACCAAAAAACAAACCAAACCAAACAAACATCAAAGATATGATCAGATTAGTGATTTAATATTTCGAGTGGTCCAAAACAAGACTTACGACTTCTTCTTTCTGGAATTTCAATCACTCTAATAGTTGTATCAGCAGAAGCACTAATCAATCTACTAGAATCCATTGAAAATCTTAAAGAAGTCACTGGAAATTCATGAGCATGTAAGACCGATAAAATAGGCTAAAAGGAAAGAAAACAACAACAAGAAATTAGTCAAACCTGATCATTTTTTTCATTTTTTTCGATTTCATAGATTTAGAAAATGGTGAAATACAAACTCTAAGAGACAAACTATCAATGATCGAAACGGTTAGATCACTACTCGAAAGTCCTAAAAGTAGACCTGTTTCACTTAAATCAAATGCAGTGACCGGTCTAGTACTAATCGATCTTGATTTTCTTAAAGATCCATCTGTCCAATTCCAATTGATCACTTTAGCACCTTTTTTTCTATCCTGTGGATTTAAGATTGTATAAACATTTTCAGACGTTGGACCACGTCCGAACCTATTATCGAAAAAAAGAATAAATTGATTCATGAGTTTGATAAGAGATTAATTAAGAAGGTTTTCATAAGAGGTCAAAGGTTGAAGGAGTTGGTTTTCACATACTTTGCACTACGAAAAGATGTAGATAGATGAGCTTGAGGTGGGATTAACTCGTGTAATTGTTTAAGTTGGATTTCTTTTTTCTTTTCTTTTGAACCCGAAGGAAAGATGATCGAAAAGATTCGTACAGCTTGACTTGAGCATATAAGAAACTAAGTCAAAAGACAGTCTATCAGCTTTGAATCTGATCAATGACCATGATTTTAAAGAAGGATGAAGAAAGGGGGTTTTACGTGTGTACCATCTTCTGAGAAATCTGCAGTTAAAAGTTCACCAGCTGGACATGGGATCGGGCTTGAGATTGCTGGTTTCAGAGATGGATAAGATAATAGTTTGAGTTGGTTATTACTACCACCTACAGCGAGTAACTGAGGTGAAGCTCTTGATAAACAATTGATCCGCTGTAAAAAACAAAACAAAAATCAAATTCGAAAAGGTTGGTATGTGAAACCTTTTCTGGAATTTGATCGGAAATTGAAAGAGATTGACTAACTTGATAATCATTTCCAGTTTGATCAAAGTCTAATATCTGATACGTTTCTTTAAGTTCAAGTCTATGAAAAGAGAAAGAATCAAAAGGAATCAATTCAAAAGCTTTCTTTTTGTTTTCTTCTTCTTCTTCTTAAAAGTGATCAAGATAAAAAACTTTCGAAATGAAAGAAAGAGACAAAACTTACAAAGAATCTTTGAGTTTAAATGTACGTAAATGTTGATTTCGACCTACTTTCAAATCGGTTGGAGGTGAATTAATACCTGAAAGGATTAAACTAGTCTATACTCATCCAAAGAAAAACCCCACACAAGCGTAATAGAAAACAAAATAGATTTTTCAAATCAGTCAAGAATGATAACTAAATAATAAGATTGGTTTTGTTTGATTTAAAATTCACTTAACTGATCGATCAAAGTCTATACTCATTGGAGCATCAGAACCGATAGGTAGCCCATATTCGTGTAAGATTGAAAATTCTTTAGAGTTTGGTTTGATTTTGATGTACCAAAGTTTATTGGCTATTCCACTTTTTGATGAACCACCACCACCACCTAAAACAATTTGATCGTTCTCAATAAACACCACACAATAGATTGGTGATCCAAGATTGATTGAATAGTGTGACATTTGATTTTGATTTGATTTTATTTGATTGTGCGTTTTGGCATTCGTGTTCGTTGTTTTGATGAAATGAGTTTGGTTGATAGTGAGTTGATGATGGATGTTGATAGTCGAGGGATGACCGTGGAGAAGGTAAGGAGGTAATCAGTTGATTATGTAATTTGGTAGTTTAAACAACCAAGCAGTTCATTAAAACTCACTTTAACTCAATACACCAACTCACTCTTCACTCTTCACTCTTCACTCTCCAGTCAACAGGGGTCATCGATCTTAACTATCCCTTCAACACGAATCCATCCAGGCTCAGCTTAGCGCTCACATTCCTAAACTAGCGAAACCAACTGCATTCCTGGCTATCATACTACAGATCAAGATTCCAAACCATACCAACAGAGACACAACACCTGTTGAAGAATTTCGTCTGAATCGCTTCGTACCATTCTAGTACTAGACTAGCACTACCTCTTCATTCCTCATCTGATCATCAAGGACTATATGTACTCCCCACATGAGCGTACGATTTCTACTCCCAACATCATTCATTCAATCAATGAGGAAGAGTTTGGACAAGTCTGAGTTAGATAAAGGTCATGTTCTTTGGAATTTCTGAACAACTGAAACATGAAACGATCGTCATCAAGGAAACCATATTCTCAAAAACTTGGGTCTAGCTCAGAAGAAACATCAGCTATCCAATATACGTATATCTGTAAAAAAAACCATGAAAATGAAGTTGTGATTGTCTTTTTGATATGAATCTGATCATTACATACACTCTGAATTTTCTCAAATTTGAAAGAACCTTATGATCGCTTGACTTAGGCTTCAATCTACAATTTGTTTTATGTTCATCACTGATGAACATTTTTTCTAAAGAAGAACACATATTCAATGTTGTAGTTATATGAAACCTTTTTTTGGAATTTGGAACACAGAGATTGATTATCGAAGAGATAGGCTCAACATCTTGGTACATATTGCAAGATCAGAAGAGAAATTGTTTATTTGATATATGTTTGTTTGTAAACCAATCTTCCATATGAATGTCTTTATGGCATAGTAAGAAATCAAGGAGGTTACCGTCCATGATTATCGATCGTTTTTGTGTTTTTCTCTTGAAAATGAATGATTTATGAGAAAACATTCAGACAAATGAAGGTTTCGAATCTTTGAATTAGAGAGTGTGTAAAAAGTTTGAACAAGAAATGTTTAAGAAACTTTACTAGAGTGTAACATACCAAAGAGAATCAAAACCAACCAAGTTGAAATTGAATTGATCGTCTTGGTAAGAATCACGTTATGGATTGGATCAGATTTCTTAGAGTGTATATATATATCGTTATGTATCAAATAATCATGAAATAATGTCCAGATCGAAAACAACAATCTTGAAATCGAATCAAAGTGACTCTTCACTGTAAAAAAAAGTCACACATCCGGCACAGAACAATCAAAAGAAAGTGGAACGCTTGTAGTCCATTTTTGCACCGAGCTTTATTGTTCTAGAATTGTTAAAGAGAAGAATCGGGATCGAAGACCTTAATCTTGTTACAATCAAGAAAACAAGCATGGGACGATGAGGATTTTTTGTATTGATTTTACAACACCAGATAAAGACGATTGGATCTTTACGAGTGGAGAGAAATCGGTCAAAGCCATGGAAGTTGATAGAACCTATGGCTAAAGATCGTTATGTGAATCTTGAAAGGGTACTTTGAAACCAAATACTCCTAGAATTAAAGTCACCCAAAATGTGAGGCTCTATGTGTAGAGAGGAAATGTAGGAGATGCTCAATCAAGTTTCATTAAAGGAGACTGTACAGGAAAAGGTCATATCGCGAAAGAAAGTATCCAAAGTGTTAAAATCAGCTAGCCATGATACTAGACGATGGAATGCTATGTACAACAATAAATCTTAGGTCGTCTGAAGCAATGACCAAAACGTAGATTTAGCATATTTAGTAGTCAAAGTGCTCGAGAATAATCAAATGAACTTGTTCAATCTTCTTCATATTCAACGCTCGAGTACCGTATTCTTTAGCACGAGTGAATTGGAAGTTGAACTCCCACAGGAAGCTCTTAGCATCATGTTGGGTAAACGTTGTAGCTTGAATGCGAGCCAAGTCAACCAAAGGCTTTCTCCTATTGTAGATCTAAAGACTCGGTATCATCTTGAAAGGAGTGATAAAGACCGTAAGACCATACATCGGTCATCTATTGAAGACTGTCCTCTACACCCAATAGACCCAGACCCTCTCACCTACTTCGATTTGATCTTGATGATTTTGTGATTGAAAGAATCACATTGATGTGGTCGCTTTGATCGTTCTACATCAGATTTTCCCTTCAATCTTTGACTGTTGAAGGAAGTAGGAATTTCATGTTCAGCAGCCTAGCTATGTAAAACATTTGGTACACGTTGAAAAACTGAACTGGAATGATTATACTTACCGAAAGGTAAATCGATCCTGTTGTTCGAAAGTTGAAATTGATCGAGATCTTGCGCGGGAGAGAATTTTTTGATTTCTGCCTATCTATAGAAGAATACAAAATCCAACAGGGATGATGAGGTTATAGGAAGTACGACCAATCTTTCGAATGCTGTCAAGGTTTTTTAAAATGCTTTTGTATCAGCGGATGTAATGTAGAACTTGATAGGATATCATCTCGTTGCTCATGTATTTCTGAATAGATTGGGGTTTTCACGTCCTTGATCTAGAAGATCAAGTTTTCTGAAAACGGTGACTAGAGTATATTGAAGCAATCTGAACACAGATCTCGGCATCGATGTCGAAGACGGAGAGCACTCAGAATTTGAGAAGCTAATAGATAGAGTCCGTTTTGCTTTGCTCTGTGTTGAGTTTCAATAGGTGCATTCAGGTGTATCCCTAAGTGTTTGTGATTTTAGATTGGATTGTGACTTGATTACTCGAACATATAGAGTTTAAGAAGGTCGATGGGAATGTTCTTGAGCTGAACATCTTGAAGCCTACCTTATTTTGCAGTATTTCATCCCTCGTTTTTTGCATTCGACGTAAATGTTCAGCTTGAGCTGATCGCCAAAAATGTATTCGCTTTTCGGTGTATTTTGTTGAGCATCTGATCCAAACAATGGGAACCGCGTCGCGTTATTTGTCACGTGAGCGTGCTTCGGATCAGCCGCGGACCATTATAAATTTCGGCTTCCGGGAGTTGTAGTCGAATTTCGTTTCTTCATCCTTACCACCACCTTCCGATCCACTTCCCTTCACTTCATATCCCTCTCTTCACTCTTCACTTCCCCTTAAGCTTAACAAGCTCTTCCCATTTTCCAACATGACTTCCACCCTCTACCAAAAAATCAACTTTCGTGAAATCCCTTCCGTTTTCCCGTTTTATTTTCTTGTGGTCTTCATCCTTCATCTCGTCTTGGTCAACTTTGGACGTCGGGTTGTTCTTGAACCTAGTTTTTCCACTGTTTTCTTAGAAGACTTTATCTTTTCCACCGTCTCCCTTCCTATTCTTTACCTCTTCTATTATGGTTCTTTAAAACTCGTGTCTTGGAGTTCCGCTCGTCGCTCTCAGTCCGAGCCTCTTGAAATTCCTCTACATAGATTTTATCCTTCCATCTCTCCTCCAATTGCTTGCTTATGGGCTCCTTTGATTAACATCACTCCTCCTACTGAACCTCCTATGAAGAATCTCCCTCCTCCTCTTGCTCAACAAGACCCTTACTTTCTTCAAACCGAATACAACCCACGCGTACGAGAAGCTCCAAAACCTTTTGAGTTGATCGAGATGCCAGAAGAAGTCGATCACGTTGACTACACAACATATGTATGTTTTTTCCTCCTATCCTTTTCCTTTTTTTCTTTTTCTCATTTCACTTTTCCTCTCATTCGTGGATCAATCGGCTTACATGGTTTTAATTTTGTCACAGATGGTCATCGACCCACTCACCTTTGTCCGCATCGCCTGAGGCTCTGTTACTTTTCAAGGATGTTTTCTGTTATATGCCAGGTATGTGCTTTATACCCTTTTTATATGTTTTATCAAGAATTTGACTGACATCCAATCTGTTTTCAATTGCGATTCTAGGACTTCTTGTGCTTGAAAACTTCTTAGGCTATTCTCGAATGGTTTCTTCTCTTCTCAATGTTAGATTATTCTCGTAGTCCTTTTTCGTCAATTATTATTCAGATCGTTTTATAAAAAAATCAAAGTCGTACTTGTTCATGTGTACCTTATAAACTCCGGTGGACAAATCATTTAGATATCTTCATTCGCGATATAAAACTCATATACAGTGCCACTTGAATTTCGTTTCCCGAGAGTCATGGCCCTAGTCAGCTGTTGTAATAGTATGAGGTACACACGACTTGAGACTCCCACCAAACCTGAGAATTCAAACACTTCAGATATTTCAATATCGTAGCATAGAGCGGCGCGTTTCTGAAGGGGAACTCTTGGTCGCCACTAAAACATCTTGAGATATCGATGGCCATTCCGATGCACTCAAGGCGTTTTCAGAGGACAAAGACTAACAGAAACACACCAGTTCCCATAATTAAGATAAGAGCATTATCACTCATCTATCCAAAAGAAAGAAAGAAAGACAGACATATAAGGGATCTCAACCAAGAATCCTGATTTTGAGGTACTATGAATGTTTTTTACACCTCTGGCTGAACCTCCGCCTGTAGATTTGTTATTGATCCCCTCGTCGAATCAGCAGTCAGCCGTTTCAAACTTCCGCCAAATTGGGCAAGCATGCCATAGAGGAACTGTTTCCCCCCCAAAATATACCCACGGCTCAAGCTGGTAGCTGTAAACTCCATCAGGAAAGAAGCATTACAATTTGCGATGGATGCAGAGTGGACATGAGTGTGTAGCAAGCTTTCAAAATTGCAAAATAAACGCCCAAAGAGTACGAGACACTGCCACTCTTAGGCACCTTTCTCCATACATATACCCTTTAGTGCCTACTACTCATCCATTGTAAGATACACAAATGCTCAACAGCGGCC